CGAAACCGGTTTGGCTCAGTGGATAGAGCATCGGCCTGTGGACTGAAGGGTCCCAGGTTCGATTCCGCCCAAGGGCATGTCCCTTGATTATGCAAGAGGCAGCTGATCGATGTTTCTCTCTCATCGATGTTTCTAACTCTCTATCCCTCTCTCTTCCTCTCTCTAAAAAAATCAATAAAATATATATTTAAAAAAATAATAAAATAAAAATAAAAATCTATCACTTCATTTGTACCAAACCATTTGCAAAGTGTTAAGCTTGTGGGCAGTAAAAGGTAACTCAGAGGTGTCTGAGCTGTGCTAACACGTCTGCTGTAGGCAGCAGTTCTGGGAAGAGGGTCTTGCCGTTACCTCCACGTTACAGATGAAGACAGTGAGACAGCTGGGAGGGGGCAGCACTGAGGTGTGAGGATCTGAGCTCAGACAACCTGCAATCCTCACCAAGGGCAGGGCGGGACTCCGGGGGCTTTCAGTCCATCCGCTGCCACTGTGGTGACCGCGCTCCCAGCTCCCTCCTTGGGTTGCTGTGGTGGCATAGGGACTGCAGAACGGGCCCACATTCAGCCCACCCCACCCCATAACTTTGGCCTCCCAGTATGGGAACAGTGTCTGAGAGCTCTTAACCTTCCTTCTGACTGCCGTTGAGTTTGGGGATCCCTCTTTCTCCAAAGGTCTTGAGCCCTGACTTGTAGTCTCAAATGATGTGAAAGGGTTTCCATTTCCGGCAAGCAGCGAGCAGATTGAACAGTGTCCCAGACCCGGGAACCAGCATGTACAGGTGCATTGCTTGAGGCTCAGAAAACCACGGGTCTCCGTTATGTCTGGTGTGATCAGTACAAGGAACAGGATTCAACTTGGGAGTGACAGTCTGTGGGGCTGGGTTTCTCTCCTGAGCGTGGTTGGAGCCACGGAAGGTTTGGAGCAGACGTGGAGGATGAGAGCGAGAAGGGAGAGGTTAGAGATGACCCCACAGTGTTTGGCCTGAGAAAGGTGTAAGTAGAGCGAAATCATCTGTTGAGATGGTGAAGTTCGTGGAAATAATGTCACGAGTCCGGCATTGACCGTGTTGAGTCCGTGATGTCCCAGACGGCTGAGCAGAGTTATCACATGGACGGCAGGACTCCCAGGTTTTCAGTTCAGAGGAGGGATTCAGGTGGAAACTTCCGTACAGAGGCAGCCTTAGAGGAGGGTGGAGTTGTACGTCAGATCGAGAGAGAGAGAGCACCTTTATGTTGGGGTGGCGGTGACATTGTGGGTCTAGAAAAGGCGGATTCGTGTTGATGGGGGGAGGGAGGCGAGAAGAACAGGATCGGACAGGGGGTAACGTCTCCAGAGAAAGGGTGCCCCGCGGTGGCTGCTGGGGATGGCAGTAATAGAGGCGACATGAAAGGGAGACAGAGCCGCTGCTCATTTCCCTCTGTGCTCCCCAGCTTCTGGGGGGACATTTGGGGGGACGGGGGGACGGGAGGAGGGGGGAAATCAGGCTGACAAATTAGCTCGGGACCATGGAGTCAGTTGGCATGGTCACCCCACTTGGGGAAGAGGCCAGTGGGTGTGGCCTTGAATGAGAGTCTGGTTAAGCCTGTGACGCGTGAGGATCTGCATCCTCAGTGTTCAGCCGCCAATGGAGCAGGGCTGGGCCTGCCTGTCACCTGTACGTGGTTTGGTTTGCTGACGTTCGGCCGAGGAGGGGAGGGTGGAAAGGCTGGGCTCACAGGTCCCGATGGCAGTGGGGCCCCTGACTGGGGCTGGAGTGAACCGAGCATTCTCGAAGGGCTGTGCACCGCATTCCAGGCCCAAGCTCTACGTCTGCCTCCCTGTCCACTGCCTGTTCTCCGCTGGACAGATGGTGCGTGGAGAATGGGCAGCTGGGAGGAAAGTACGGCAGGCCAGGAGTCCTGCGCTCTGCTGCCTTCTTCGTGTGGGGTCATGTGACTTTGAGGGTGTTTGCTTTCCTCCTGGGAAGGTTGGGGACTACTTGACAAGGCTCAGAGACTCTCTGTGCTTTGCCTTTAAATCAAGTTTAAATCCTGGGTAAGGTCCTGCCCTAAACAATTAGGCTCAGTGGATAGAGCGTCAGCCTGCAGACGGAAGGGTCTGGGTTTGATGCCGGTCAAGGGCATGTACCTTGGTTGTGGACTCCATCACCAGTGGGGGGCGTGCAGGAGGCACTGATGGGTGCTTCTCTCACATGGATGTTTCTGTCCCTTTCCCTTCCTCACTGTAAGAAATCAGTAAGCCCTAGCTGGTATGGCTCAGTAGGTTGGGTGTCAACCTGTGTATCTAAAGGATGCGGGTTCGATTCCTAGTCTGGGCAGATGCCCAGGTTTGCAGACTCAATCCCCGGTGGGGGGGCTTGCAGGAGGCAGCTGATCAAAGGTTGATGTTCACCCTGCTCAGTTTGGCTCGGTGAACAGAGCATCGGCCTGCAGACTGAAGGGTCCCAGGTTTGATTTCAGTCAAGGGCACATACTTGAGTTGCAGGTTCAATCCCCAGTAGGGGGTGTGGAGGAGGCAGCCGATCGATGATTCTCATCATTGATGTTTCTCTCTCTCAGTCTCTGAAATCAATAATAAAAAATATATATATTAAAAAAAAATCAGCCAAAACCGGCTCAGGGTAGAGCGTCGATCTGTGGACTGAAAGGTCCCAGGTTCGATTCCGGTCAAGGGCATGAACCTGGGTTGCGGGCACATCCCCAATAGGGGGTGTGCAAGAGGCAGCTGGTCGATGTTTCTCTCTCATCGACATTTCTAGCTCTCTATCTCTCTCCCTTCCTCTCTGTAAAAAACCTATTATATATATATATATATATATATATATATATATATATATATATATGTTTTTGTTTTTTTTTAAAGAAATCAATAAAAATATATTGTTAAATAAAGAAAGAAATCAGTCTGGGGGAGGTCCTGAGGGGCAGTGTTTTGGTCTGTCTCTGCACTTCCTTCTTCTCCAGAGGCTGCCGTTCCCTTCCCGGCAGGCCCATGGGCATTCCCGCTGTCCCTCATTCCCTCGCCTGGTCCTCGGGCTCAGCTGTGTGTACTGTCCCCTCCACTCTCTCCGCTTCCCACTCCTGCTGCCCAGAACCCTGGCCGGGAAGGTGTCAAGGTCAGGTGCTTTGTGTCAGCCCACTGGATGCTACCCTGCTTGGCTTTTCGTTGTTCGTCCTCCCTGAAGGACATTTTTCCATTGATTTTTTTTTTTTTTTTTTTTTTTAGGAACATAACATTTTAATAGATGAAATAAATACTCCAGTGCATGCAAGGTACACACTTGACATTGGAGGGGGGGATCACTCTAGTGTAAATCAGAGGGGAAGCTGGGAGTTGTCTTCCTTTGTTCCTTGGAAATCAAAACCCCTTCCTCACGCGGGACCGGGTGGGCCCTGCTGTCGGTGCACGTGGCCTTCAGGAGCTGGGACCCTCCCAGGGGCACTTCCCTTCACGACGGGCGCTTGGGGACGGGGACGCAGGGCCTCCCCAGCGCGTCTCCTGTCCCCAGAAGCAGCCTTGGCGGGGCTGAGGGTGTGGCCAGTCCTGCCGGGCTGGGCCTCACAGTGTGCGGCTCGCCCTGCGGCCCCCGTGCCCTGCGGCCCTCAGATGGCCATGGGCAGGGGTCCATGCCCCTCCCTCCTCACTGCAGGCTCTGCTCAGGGCACTCCCTGCGCGCATGTCCCTGGGGGCTGGGCCAGCTCAGAAGGAACCCGCGGAGCTGCGCCACCTGCCTGCACCCTGGCTTCTGCCACTTTTTGTCAACCTCCAGCTTCCCAGGGCACCAGAGACACTGAAAGGAAGGGCAGGGCCGAAGGCAGAGGGAGCCAATGCCGCCTCCCCCTCCTGCTCTGCACAGCGCGGCTCTCTGCACAGGCTCTCCTCTGCACCGAGTTTCAGAGGAAGGGAAAGGGGGAGAGAGAAACAGTGATGTGAAAGAGACACATCAATTGGTTGCCGCCAGCATGTGTCCTGATTGAGCCTGCAAACAAGGCACATGCCCTTGGCTGGAATTGAACCCCAGGACCCTTCAGTCTGTGGGCCCAACTCTGTCCACTGAGCCTAACTGGCTGGGACCTGCCCCCTTCTTTGATATTTCCTTGGCCTACGTATGTTATGAATCACGGTCATCGTCATGGCTTGTGGGACCCATTGGATGCGTCTGCAAGACGTGACTCTGTCATGGGTGGGGCAGTGCTTTCCTACTCACTGGCCCTCTTTCTTCCGTGACTTATATTTCCCAGATCCTTCGTGGCTTCTGAGTACCTGACTGGGAGGTAATGACTCTGGCCACAGCAGGAGGGGCTGGACCGGCCCAGGTAAGTCAGAGCTTTGGGAGTGTGTGACCTCAGGGTTTGGTCCAGGTAACTCCAGAAACCTGTCCTGTGCCACTACTGTTAGGAGCCCAGGCTGTAGGCCACACTTTCTGTTTTTCCTCCCCATTCTGGGCACTTGACACTTTTGTCATTTCTATTCTGACCTCTGACCCAGGGCTGTCCACCCCGATTTCCAGTGCTCTCTCCTGCTCCCTCTGCAGGGACCTCCCATACTGGATGACGCTAAACTATCGGAGACATACACATATCCTTAAGTAGTTCTTCAGTACCAGTTACTAATAATCCTAAGTCAGCGTTTCCCGGGCCCGGGCGTACGTGCCCGTGTGGCACTCACCGTTTACCAACAGCCAAGGCCTTTTTAAAAGTCAATTGCAAGGAGAAAGCTGGCAGTCCTGCCTGCTTCTCCCCAAGCTACACCTGTGTCCTTTCCCGCCCCGCCCCCCTTCCCGCGACCCTCAGAGCCTGGTCACGCACATCAGCTCCTTCTCTGACGTGGACTCAGCCGTGGGTGTGTAGACAGGCTGTTGCGATGGGGTTGTCCCTCACCAGAGTTCGTGTGTCCTTCAGCGGCATTTCTCTTACTTCAGCGGCATTTCTCTTACTTCAGCGGCATTTCTCACTTCGGCGGCATTTCTCTGGCTGCAGGTTGTTGCCTTGGGGTGAAGGATGAAGAGGCGTCTTCTGAGCAGAGCATTTCTGTGCACGTGTCACGTGTGCGTCCTGCCACGGGAGGTTCCCCCGGCCCAGATGGCTCACCCGTGTGACGCGTGTGGCCCCGTCTTGAAGGATGTTTTGCATCCAGATGCCCACCAGGAAGCCCCTTACGGACCAAACCCACACACCTGTGAGGCCTGTGGGAGGCAGTTCGCACGTGGGGCAGACTGTGACCGGCGCCAGGAGCAGCGCAGCGCAGAGACGCCCGTGGGGAGGGACACGGGCGAGGCCACGCTTGTGAGGAACGGTGGCGTCTGTGAAGGACCTCACCCCCCAGAGAAGCCCTGTGCGTGCGTGTGCGTGTGCGTGTGCGAGGGGGGACGGGAGAGCTCCCGGGCAGGTGCGGACAGCCGCCAGCCAAAGGCCGCCCCCCGCAGGAGGAAGACCAGGAGCAGCGAGAGCGGGGCGGCCTGCCACCCGGGACAGACGCGTTACAGCTGCAGCAAGTGCGGGAAGGCCTTCGGCCGCAGAGACACGCTCGTGCAGCACGAGAAGATCCACTCCGGGGAGCGGCCGTACGGGTGCGGCGAGTGCGGGAAGGCCTTCGGCCGCAGGGCCACGCTCCTGCAGCACCGGAGAACACACACCGGGGAGAGGCCGTTCGCGTGCGGCGAGTGCGGGAAGGCCTTCAGCCGCAGGGACAACCTCACGCAGCACAGAAGGACTCACACCGGAGAGACGCCTTACAAGTGCGGCGAGTGCGGGAAGTACTTCAGCCATCACTCCAATCTCACCGTGCACCAGAGGGTGCACAACGGGGCGAGGCCTTATAAGTGCAGCGACTGCGGGAAGGTGTTCAGACACAAGTCCACGCTTGTCCAGCACGAGAGCATCCACACGGGAGAAAACCCTTACGCCTGCAGTGATTGTGGAAAGTCCTTCGGCCACAGGTACACCCTCATTAAACACCGGAGGATTCACACCGAGAGCAGGCCCTTCGAATGCACCGAGTGCGGGAAATTCTTCAGCCGGAGCTCTGACTTCATCGCACACCAGAGAGTTCACACGGGCGAGAGGCCTTTTGTGTGCAGCAGATGCGGGAAAGATTTCATAAGGACCTCCCACCTTGTCCGGCACCAGAAAGTGCACACGGGAGAAAGGCCCTATGAGTGCAGCGAATGCGGGAAGGCCTACAGCTTGAGCTCCCACCTCGTCCGGCACCAGAAGATCCACACTGCAGGAAGGCTGTAGGAGTGCTTTCCCCACGGACTCACGTGGAGAGGCCCTCTCCGATCTCCCTTTGAGAGGAAGACATCAGTCAGATGTTGAACTTCGTATATTTGAACATTAGCACTGGGGGGAGACACCTAGTTAGGGCAGTTAGGGGTGATCAGGCTGGCAGGGACGGGGGGGGGGGGGGGGTGCAATTAGGCACATCAGACCAGCAGGCAGAGGCGGTTAGGGGCAATCAGGCAGGCCAGTGGTTAGGAACCAGAGGTCTCGGATTGGAGAGCGTACAGGCTGAGCTGAGGGACTCTAGTAACACATAAAAAAAAATACCATTTTTTTTGCCAGAACCAGTGTGGCTCAGTGGATAGAGCATCGGCCTGCGGACTGAGGGGTCCCAGGTTCGGTTCCGGTCAAGGGCATGTACCTTGGTTGTGGGCATATCCCCCGTGGGGGGTGTGCAGGAGGCAGCTGGTTGGTGTTTCTCTCTCATCGATGTTTCTGACTTTCTGTCCCTCTCCCTTCCTCTCTGTAAAAAAAAGTCAATAAAATATATTTTTTTAAAAATTAATACCGTTTTTTACTCAAAATTGGGTAAATTTTACTCAAAATTTAGATCTAATAAAGAAAACCAACGTAAAGAACTTTAATGCTAGACCTAGCTTGTTTGGCTCAACGAATAGAGTGTCAGCCTGTGGACTAAAAAGTCCCAAGTTTGATTCTGGCCAAGGGCACATGTCTGAGGTGTGGGCTTGATCCTCAGTGTGGGGCATGCAAGAGGCAGCCAATCAATGATTCTTTCACATCATTGATGTTTCTATCCTTCTCCCTCCCTGAAATAATAAAATATATTTTTAAAAAAGAAAAGAAAAAGAACTTCAATGCTAAGCTGCTTAGAAAATCACAGAAACACCTTGGATCTAAAGGGATGTATGAGCTCCAAGGGTGTATACCTCCAGTGTCTACACATATGAACCCGGCTGGGAAGGCTGAGCTACAACCCCGAGTCACCTTTCATGAAAAAAGAAGCATGGCCGAAACCGGTTTGGCTCAGTGGATAGAGCATCGGCCTGTGGACTGAAGAGTCCTGGGTTCGATTCCAGTCAGGGGCATGTACCTTGGTTGTGGGCACATCCCCAGTGCTGGGTGTGCAGAAGGCAGCTGATCAGTGTTTCTCTCTCATCGATGTTTCTAACTCTCTATCCCTCTCCCTTCCTCTCTGTAAAATATCAATAAAATATATTTTAAAAAAGAAAAAATAAAAATAAAAAAGAAGCATGACTCAGCAGCATAGAACCCTTAATGGGGAGCTTCCAGCCCCCTGGGCAGGACCCTGAGCCACAAATTATGTTTCCAGGGCTTGATCCACATGATTTTCAAAATGTCTTGAGACTGGTGCCTCTTGTTTTTCCATTTTTCTCCCCTTGTGAAACAATATATAAAGCTATCCTAGGTCTGCTCCAACATTCTTAAAAAAAAACTTCTCATTGATTTCAGAAAGGAAAGGAGAGGGGGGAAACATCAATGATGGGAGAGAATCGCTGATAGGCTGCTTCATGTAACCCCTCCACACACACACACACACACACACACACACACACACACACACACACTGGGATGGAGCCTGCAACCTAAGGATGTGCCCTGACCAGGAAGCCAATTGTGACCACCTGGTTCATAGGTCAATGCTCAACCACTGAGCCACACCTGCTGGGTTGCTCCACCGTTTTATTTCAGGGATAGTTTGTTTTCTAGCATCACAGCCCCACAGCTGGGGAGATCATGCACTTCAGGAGATCATTACACCCAGAATCTGACCCATTTGATGATACGGTTCCACACTTCTAAGATCGTGGGATTTGGATGATGGGTTCATACTGGATTGAGGCCATTTGGGATCTTGGGATAGGTTTATTTCGCAAGAAGCGACAGGAATTTGGGGAACAAAGGATAAAGTGTAGAAGGCAGAATAATTGCTCCCAAAGATGGGCGTGTCCCCCGCGTGGCCAATGCACTATGTGTGTTAGTAACGCTGTGCGCATGGCAGCGAGACTTACCTCGGGTGGCGTCAATCTAATCACGGGAGTCTTCGGGATGGAGAACCGCCCCCAGCGGCAGGGAGAAGAGCCAGACCTGGGGCAGGACGACCAGCCTGATGCCCCAGAGCTGGGGCCAGGACACAGCTCCTGTGCCAGGACTGAAGAGGAACCCTGGGAGCTAAGGTCCAGCAAGAACTCTTGTGAGTTCAGACAAAATGAAGAAAGTGGCTGTGACCTTGAAGCTTAGAGACGCCACATCCCATACGTCTATGGAACTAGATTCTGCCAACAACACGAATGGGCAGGAATCTCTGGGAAGGGACACAACCCACCATCATTCAAGAACTACTGAGTCCCAGGGACTGGGCGAGCTGGGCGGGTCAGGGAAGGGCTGCCTTCAGAGGCGTTGGTTCTGAGAGAAAGGAAGGCAGAGAGTTGATATCTGGCTAAAAGGGTGGGGTGACAAGTAGATGGATGCCCACAGAGCCAGGAAGGAGCTCTGGTCTACCTGGTCTACCCTACCCCTCTCCACTCCCAACTGGGTTTTCTGGCCCAGGTAACAGGTTCTGCTGCCTTCGACCCCTGCGATCCCCAACAGCTGGGGATGCCTCCTCATCCCATGCCCTCTGGCGGCTGTACTGGTTCCCAGGCCCATCCACCTGCTTCAGATGCATCCACCCTCACGGCTCCTGGCACCTCCTGTGTCCTGGCCGCCAGCTCCCTCCACAGCCCAGCTTCCAAACCGGTTTTGTTTGTTTCTCTTTTAAAATATATTTTATTGATTTTTTACAAAGAGGAAGGGACAGGGAGAGTTAGAAACATCGATGAGAGAGAAACATCGACCAGCTGCCTCCTGTACACCCCCTACTGGGCACGTGCCTGCAACCAAGGTATGTACATGCCCTTGACCTGAATCAAGCCTGGGACCTTTTATTTTTTTTAAATATATTTTATTAGCCGACACCAGTTTGGCTCAGAGGTAGAGCGTCGGTCTGCGGACTGAAAGGTCCCGGGTTCGATTCCGGTTAAGGGCATGTACCTTGGTTCGGGCACATCCCTGGTAGGGGGTGTCCAAGAGGCAGCTGATCGATGATTCTCTCTCATCGACGTTTCTAACTCTCTATCCCTCTCTCTTCCTCTCTGTGAAAAATCAAATATATTTTTAAATAAAAAAATAAAATATATTTTATTGATTTTTTACAGAGAGAAAGGGAGAGGAATAGAGAGCTAGAAACATCGATGAGAGTCATTGACCAGCTGCCTCTTGCACGCCCCCTACTGTGGATGTGCCCGCAACCAAGGTACATGCCCTTGACCGGAATCGAACCTGGGACCCTTCAGTCTGCAGGCTGACGCTCTATCCACTGAGCCAAACCGGATTTGGCAAGCCTGGGACCTTTTAGTCTGCAGACCAATGCTCCACCCACTGAGCCAAACCGGTTAGGGCTCCACACCGGTTTCTAACCCAACATCCCCTCTCCTTCCACATCTCCCACCTGTGTCCCCAAAGCTGCAAATTCCACCACCCTGCACAGACACTCACAGCACCGCTGGCCCCAGTGGCCCACCTAGCACCTCCTGTTGCCTGGTCTCCAGCTCAAACTGGTGTCAGATACTCTGCCCTCATCCCTGGCACCTCAAGGTTTTAGCTCTTTGCCTCACATCCCTGCTGCAAAATCCCTTCTCACCCCCACAGACAACACGGAAACTGGAAGAGTGAGAGAATGTGTTCCAAATGGAGCAGGAAATGTGACTGTTATCTGGGTGGGTATTTTGTAGGCAATCCTGGGGTGTGTACTACTCATTTAAGGGTTGCAGTTTCTTTCCAGCAAAGGTTCACCTCGTTCATTTGGAGTAAGCTCTAGGGTAGGTATTTTACTGGGTACTTTGTTTTTTGTTGTTGTTGTTGTTTTAAATATATTTTATTGATTTTTTACAGAGAGGAAGAGAGAGGGATAGAGAGTTAGAAACATCGATGAGAATCATCAATCAGCTGCCTCTTGCACACCCCCTAGGGGATGCGCCCGCAACCAAGGTACATGCCCTTGACTGGAATCGAACCCGGGACCTTTCAGTCCCCAAGCCGACGCTCTATCCATTGAGCCAAACCGGTTTCGGCAGTACTTTGTTTTTTAATACATACACATATAGTCTCTCTATATAAAAAGCCAATGACAGTCATTATGATGCCCACTGTGGCCAGCAAATCACCTGATCAAGGGGTGGGGCTGGCTCATCAACCTGTGGCCCCTCCCCCAGCCAGCCCACTCCTGATCAGACTATCCCACCCCATCAAAGGTGGGTCAGCTGGCCAAATGCCCCCCTCCAGCCATCCCCCTGGCCATCCCACCCCCGTTTGACCCATGCCACCATGATAGGCCTGCAGCCCTTCCCCCTGGCTGGCCCTGCCCCTGATCACAGCTGGTCAACCTCCTGCGGCCCCGACCCCAACCCATTCAGGGGAAGGATCAGCTGGCCCACTGCTCAGATCCTCCCCATGGCCAGCAGCGCCTCCCTCCAGCCGCAAACCTCAAGTGGGGGCGGGGCCCTCTGGCTAATCCACTGCACCCCTCCCATAGCCTGCCCAGCCCTGATCAGGCCCAGATCTGGGCTGGATCGCCTGGAAACAGATTCGTACACTGGGCCTCTAGTTAAACATATTGATTTCAGAGAGTAATGGAGAGGGGCGGGGGGAGGGGGGAGATAGAACCATCGATGAGAGAAAAATCACTCTTCGGCTGCCTACTACACATCCCCTATTGGAGTGCAACCCTAAACCTGGGCATGTGCCCTGACTGCTAATCAAACTATGACCTTTTGGTTCATATGTCAGCTCTCAACCACTGACCCACATCAGCTAGGCATTTTACTGGGAACTTTACTGGGATCTCCTAGAGAAAAGTAAAGGCCACCCTTGGGCAAATGCCAAGGTCTTTCCATCAGCCAAAAAACCTCTCAGACTATGAATTTCCTTTTCTGGTGATCAGGTTTTTGTTGTTTTTTTCCTCTCTCTGGCAGAGATGCTAAAAACTACTTCATCTAGATATCGGGGCTTACTTCAACTTGCACAGCTGATTTAACTTGTTCTGTACCCATCCTGAAAATAATTAAAAGCAAGCACCCAGCACAGCTGGCATGGCTCAGTGGTTGAGCATTGATCTGTGAACCAGAGATTGAAATTTGCTTTCCTGGTCAGGGCACAAGCCTGCCTTGTTGGCTCCATCCCCAGGAAGGGGCATGCAGGAGACAGTTGGTCAATGATTCTCATCATTGATGTGTCTATCTCCCTTCTTCTCTGAAATAACACCAACAACAACAAAAAAAAAAACATATTTGAAAAATAAAAATAAAATTATAGCATGTTAACCACTTTGTGGCAGTCTCCTGCACTCTCTGAATCCAGTGTTTCTGCAACAATGTGGCCCCTGTGACCTTAAAGCCAGTGATGGCACCTACAGAAGTCAGGGCCCACAGCTCCATGGCAGGACCTGCAGGGACAGACGCCCCCTCACCAGTGCTGGGCACGCGACAATGGCCCTGTGAAGGAGAACAAGCTCGTGTTGCTCTCAGAAGCAGTGAAGGTTGTCACAGGGACCCCCTTCTCAGGTTGAACTCAGAACCCCCAAGCCATGGCATACAAGCATCCAAGCCACAAAGCTCCCCAGTCTTCCCTACAGGCCACGAGCATCAATGCAAACTAGGCCAAAACGGAAGATGCATCTTCTGCCATCACACTGTACCTGGAGACACACAAAGTTTGGGATCCCAACCAATGCTGTTCACCCCTTTGTGCTAGCAAACCCGTCAACTTCAAAGAACCCCAAACAGTGAGTAGAACCTCAAGATGAACAGTGGCTTAAAAAAATAAGACCTGGAGTTGAAGATAAAATTACTTTCCACGTTCAGTATTCACAAGGCCTTTATGCATGTGAAGTTTTCAACTTTTAAAAAATATATTTTATTGATTTTTTTTTACAGAGAGGAAGGGAGAGTGTGAGAGAAACACCAATGAGAGAAAAACATTAATCAGCTGCCTCCTGCACACTCCCTACTGGGGATGTGCCCACAACCAAGGTATATGCCCTTGAATGGAATTGAACCTGGGACCCTTCAGTCCACAGGCCAACATTCCATCCACTGAGCTAACTCTACAGAACAATTGTGTTTTTGATTCCAGAGACAGAAACATTGATGAGAATTATTTACTGGCTGCCTCTGTAACCCCTGGTTAGGGATCAAGCCTGCAACCCAGGCATGTGCACCTGACCAGAATTGAACCTGGGACCCTTCAGTCCACAGATCAAGGATCTATCCACTGAGCCAGATCATCTAGGAGAAATCTTTGATGTGTAATGAGGCTTGAACTATGCCTAAAATATATCCCATATTCACCACACTCACAAGGCCTTTCTCTGATGTGAACTCTGGTGTTTTAAGAGACCAGAGCTGTAAGTAAAGCATTTCCCACATTCAGTGCACTCATAAGGTCTTTCTCCAGTGTGAATTCTCTGGTGCTGAAAAAGTGCAGAGCTTTGGCTAAAATATTTCCCACATTGGCTACACTCATAAGGCCTTTCTCCAGTGTGAATTCTTATGTGTTTGATGAGACTAGAGCTGTAAGTAAAGAATTTTCCACATTCACTGCACTCATAAGGCCTTTCTCCGGTGTGAACTCTCCTATGCTGAAAAAGTGCAGAGCTTTGGCTAAAAGATTTCCCACATTGGTTACACTCATAAGGCCTTTCTCCAGTGTGAATTCTTTTGTGTTTGATGAGACTATAGCTGTAAGTAAAGAATTTTCCACATTCACTACACTCATAAGGCCTTTCCCCAGTGTGAACTCTCTGGTGTTTTAAGAAACTAGAATTGTGAGTAAATAATTTCCCACATTCACTGCACTCATAAGGCCTTTCTCCAGTGTGAATTCTCTGATGCTCAAGAAGCACAGAGCTTTGGCTAAAACATTTCCCACATTCAGTGCACTTATATGGCTTTTCTCCACTATGAACTCTGGAGTGATCAATCAGGCGGGACTTTAGAGTAAAGGATTTTCCACATTCACTGCAGGTATAGGGCCTGGACCCAGAGTGAACTCTCTGGTGTTTTAGGAGACTGGAGCTGTAGGTAAAGAACTTACCACATTCACTGCACTCATACGGCTTTTCTCCTGTGTGAACACTACGGTGCTGAAGGAGTGCAGAGCTTTGGCTAAAGGACTTCCCACATTCCCCACACTCATAAGGCCTTTCTCCAGTGTGGATTCTTCCATGTTTAATGAGGTTGGACTTGTTGCTAAATAATTTTCCACATAACTCACAATTGTGAAGCTGCGCTCCAGTGTGAACTCTCTGGTGTTGAATGAGGCTCGAGTTTTGCTTAAAGGACTTCCCACATTCCCCACACTCATAAGGCTTTTCCTCAGTGTGAGGTCTCCAATGGTCAACGAGTCTACAGCTTTTGCCACAAGATTTTCCACATTCACTACTCAAGTGGCCAGTTCCCCGGGTGAGGAGTCTCTGGTCTTGAACAAGCTTGCGTTTGCAATTAAAACCTTTCATATATTCTGAATCAGACAGAGATTTTCCATTGTGGGAGTCTGCGGCACACTCAGCTCCCCTGTTTGACTTCTCCCTGGTGTGAGTGGCCAGATGCTGGAGAAATCCTGAGCTGGCCAGGAAGTCCGTCAAAGCCTCCTCACAGGAACCGGATGTCCCCGACACACAGAATTTGCAGTCCTTTACAAATGAGGCTCTCTCCTCGTGGCCTCGGAAGCACATCTCTCCCATGAGCTGCTTCTGATGCTCACGTTCTGTGCTCACATCCAACTGTTTTTCACATGCCCCCATCTTGTACAGTTTCTGCCCAGGATGCGTTCCCGGGTGCCCAGTGAAGTGCAAAATGTCTCCCACGTCCACCCCACACAGCTCACAGGGATGGGCCTCCAGAGAAGACACACTGGCCTTGGGAGTCCTGACCTCTGACACTCCTTGTAAAGAATTTCTGAATTCAGAAGGAGCCTCCTCATTCTGGGCTCCATGCCAACAACCTGAAAGTGAAAAGTGCTGGTTAAGTGCATGTTGCCTCTGGAGGGAAGGGGCAGTCCTCACTCGTGTGTCTGACAAACCCAGGAACGAGTCCATGGCATTGTGTGCAGGACTAGGGAGTGAGTACACGCTGAGGATGGGGCTGCTCCGCAGTACTGGGCCATGACGAGCACAGACTGGGGGAGGCCTCACGAGGTGAAGGAGTCAACCAGGCAGTGTACACAGAGAGCAGACACAGGGTCCCCAATTCACTTCAAAAATGGTTTCCCTTCAGAACTTCACTACTGGTGACACACAAAAGCTATGTAGACGGGTGTGTTAAGGCGTAAGACAATACCACTATAACAGAGCAGCTGCTATTCAGAACTTTTAGAAATAGGCACACACCTCAGGACACAATGCATAGGGGCCAATGAGGAAAGCACCACAGATGGCGTGGTGAGAAAAGCAGGCTAGACACACAGTGCAGAGATGTGAGGCTGGCGGTGAGAGTAGAAGCAATAAGTGATAGAGCTGAGAAAGTGATGAAAGTTTCAGGGAAGGGGATAGACAGGCAGAAATGAAATGTAGCCCCAGGCATGGGATCAAAACACTAGTCCAACCCTGACCAGTTTGGCTCAGTGGATAGAGCGTCGGCCCGGAGAATGAAGGGACTGGGTTAGATTCTTGGCAAGGGCATGTACCTTGGTTTCGGGCACATCCCCAATAGGGAGTGTGCAGGAGGAAACTGATCGATGTTTCTCTCCCATCGCTGTTTCTCTCTATCCCTCTCCCTTCCTCTCTTTGAAAAATCAATAAAATAAATTATGAAAAAACAACCCTAGTCCAACACAGTAGGTGTCTGCTATAAGTTGAACACAGCACTGGCATCACATCTTCTGCCACTCCTAACATATTGCTGAGCCTGGATTCATGTACATCCTATAAGCCACCTCTTTCTAACCCGACCCAACACCCTCAGTGAGCAAATGCAAGGACAGCACACACGAGTAGCCAGCATCAGCCCAGAACAACTCGGCACATCACAGCCAATAGAAAAGATAACCAAACACCACACAGAGAACGTCGAAGGAAGGTCTCGCGAGACCAGCCCACAGTCCACGGGAGGGGAACCCTGTCAGCGATGGGGACTCCTGGCCCAGGCAGGCCTGAGGCAATGTCCGCTAGCAGGAGGCACAGGGCCTAGGCACACCGGGCCTGGGATCTGAACGAAGTCATTTTGTCAAGGAGACGCAAGTCCAGTGTATGGGTTCACTGGAAGACTCGGCCTGATTCCTTCACTGCAACTCTCGGCTCTTCAAGGAAGGAGAGGGCCATGCACAGATCCCAACCCCACTAAGCACAGCACCTACCCAGGGGACTAAACACAGCACCTCCCCAGGGGACTAAACACAGCACCTACCCAGGGGACTAAGCACAGCACCTACTCAGAGGTCTAACTAAGCACAGCACCTGCCCAGGGGTCTGGGGAAGAAAGCAGTACATGGTCCTGGTGAGAGGACAGACCTGCTACTGGGGGAAAGGGGAGGGCAGACATTACTGTCCACGGAAGGGGTGTATCTGTGTGTGTGTGTGTGTGTGTCTATGTGTTTGAAATCCTCACCCAAGGAGGTTATCAGTGTCAGGTTCTCCAGCATCACATCGTGGTACAGGCGTCTCTGAGCCTCATCCAGGAGCTCCCATTCCTCCGAGGAGAAGTACAGGGTCACATCCTCAAAGGTCACCCTGCCCTGTGTGAGAATAAACAAATCCTTTCTGTCAAAGAACATTTTATTTTATTTTTAATATTTTTTATTGATTTTTTTTACAGAGAGGAAGAGAAAGGGATAGAGAGTTAGAGAGGGAGAATTATCAATCAGCTGCCTCCTGCACACCCCCCAATAGGGATGTGCCCGCAACCAAGGTACATGCCCTTGACCGGAATCGAATCTGGGACCTTTCAGTCCGCAGGCCGACGCTCTATCCACTGAGCCAAACCGGTTTTGGCTGTCAAAGAACATTTTAGACGGCCGCCATTTGGGACTGTGTGACTTGGCAGCCGCCATGTTGGCCACATGGCTTGCAGTACCCCCCCCCAGGGGCCACCTTTTTGAAATGGCAAAGGCCAACTTTCCCCTTTGAATTAGCCAATAGGGAAAGACTGTGGGCCTGAGCTCCAATCGAGAGTAAAGGGCAGGTCAGGGGCATCAGGTGTTTTCAATCTGAGCAGGCCACCTGCTCTGTGAGCATGTGCATCCAGGTCACGTGCAGAAGTAAAGATGTCTGCCACGCCGCCTGGCTCCTGAGTTTGTTTTGTGTTCTACCAGGACCCCTGAATTGGGGCCTCCCCTATTCCCAACACCGGGCAGTAGGATCGGGACAGATGAAGCCAGAAAAGGCTCCTCTAGTGAGAACCCACAATCCTCCCCTCTGTTCCCCCCACACCCACCCTGTGCCTGTCCTCCTCCAATCGCCCAACTCAAAGGAAACATCCCCGTCCTGGAGCCAAGGTGGCCTCATGGGCTCAGGGTGGACAGGGTCCCGCCTGGGCCCTTGGTTCCCCAGGAGAAGAGACCGGAAGCTCCCTAAACACTCAGCTCAGTTCTGCCCGGAGAGCCACAAGGCCTGCGACCAGCTCAGGCATCACCGCCCACGGAGGTTTAATGGGCTGACGGCAATGCCAGCAGCACCTTCATGTGACCCTTGTGTGGGAGCCGGGTCCTGAGCCTGGGGTGTCTCCAGGGTCTCACGTTCCCCAGATTGGGGACCAACTCTCCAATTTGGGGAACCCAAGACATTCCAGAGACTGTAGGGGGGGGAGGGTCCCCTTCCCTCCATCCCTGTGGTCCACAACACGAGGTCCTGGGGGTGTCGTAGTGTGACCCCCACCTCACAAAGGGCACCTCAAAAAACGTCGGATTCTGGAGTCATTTATTAAGGGCCGGCAGCTTACGAGGGGCCGAAGCTCCAGACCTCGCAGCCCCCAGCAGTTTGCCACCATCTGGCTCATGTGGGCAGAACATCAGAGGTGCCGGCTCCATCTCTGGGCCTGGAGTGAGGAGCCTGTCTCCAGAGAAGCATTTCACAGAAGCGGAACTGAGCGAGTCGGTGATCCAAGGTATGGTTTTGGGGTCCACGGATCACTGAGTCGACGGAAACACATTCCCTGGCACCGACCACGGGGCTATTTAGGATGATGGTGAATCCAGGTCCCGGGACCACTGAGTCCACAGGAACGCACTCTCTGTAGCCGCTGAGACAGTTCAGGGTCACTGAGCTGTGCTGGGTCCCAGGTACAGAAGGATGTGCTTCTGTGAGCAGTGAGGTCACCATCATGGGACACACAGACCACCATCCGTGGAGCGTTCAGTCGACTGGGACAGAAAATCAAAATAAATTTCCTATTGTTTTAGCAAATGAGTACAGGAACCAAACAGCAGGGTTAAAATGAAGGTTTAAGTGAAGGTGTCGCCCTAACCGGTGTGGCTCAGTGGATAGAGCGACGGCCTGCAGACTGAAGGGTCCCGGGTTCGATTCCGGTCAAGGGCATGTACCTTGGTTGCGGGCACATCCCCAGTAGGGGGCGTGCAGGAGGCAGCTGATCAATGATTCTCTCTCATCGACGTTTCTAATTCTCTGTCCCTGTCTCTTCCTCTGTAAAAAAATCAATAAAGTATAAAAAAACAAAAACAAAACTGCAGTGTCTGCCAGAGGCGATGGCTACCAGACTTCAGGGGGCCCCGGGGGCTCGGCCTCCCCGGACCCGCCGCCCCCGTCTCCCCGGGGCCCCAGCGCCTCCGGGCCTGACCGCCGGGCTGCGGGGCCGGGGCCGGGGCGGGAGGCGGGACGCGCTCACCTCAGCCGGGCGCCGGGGCGCGGCCGCCGCCATCGGACCTGCGGGCGGGGCGGCACCTCCCGCCCCGAAGCGGGTCCCTCGCGGGGCCGCCGAGCCTCACGCCCGCGTCCCTGCGGCGGGGAGAGCGGCTCCCGCCGCCTTCGGAACCGGCACCCGGACCCGGACCCGGACCGACCGTTCGGGAACCTCTGACAAAAACCCACAGCGACGAACCCGGCCAACAGAGCAGTAGCCGGAAGTACCGCCCTCTCGCAATGCGTCACCCGCAGGAGCCCCTCTTCCCTACATTTTTATTGGATGGCGTTGCTGCCACTCCATGCTTTGTATTCTGGGAAATGTAGTCCCTCCCCCCAGCGATGCTGCCACTTCACTTTGGGCTTTCTGGGAAATGTAGTTCCTTCCCCCAGCGATGCTGCCACTTCACTCTGGGCTTTCTGGGAAATGTAGTTCCTTCCCCCAGCGATGCTGCCACTTCACTCTGGGCATTCTGGGTAATGTAGTTCCTTCCCACAGCAATGCTGCCACTTCACTCTGAAAAGGCTTATTGAGAAAAAAAAAACAACCCTCAAGCTCAGTTGCCAGGTGCATGGGAAGTGGTCTAGTGGGCTTTGCTTCCTCTTTATTTTTATTTATATTTTATTATTTATTTATTTATTTTGGATTTCCAGCTTCTTTTGTAAAATGGAAAGATCTGACGACACGGCATGTTCCCACGAGTCCCAACCACCGGAATCTCCTGACACCGAGCCACCTCTCAGGTTCCCCAGCCCGGCCCGTGCATCCGGGCCCCTGAAAGGCCCTGGAGTCGGTGACCCGGCCCCGGGGGCAACAGACTCACGAGGAAGAGGGCTGCCAGGGCGTCCCGCCCCGGGGCAGGCAGTGAGGCCACAGCCCCTCCACGCCTCCTGGGCCACGGCGAGGCCGGGCACCTGGAGGCCGGGCGCCTGGAGGCGGGAAGGAGGGCAGACCTGGCCAGGGCACAGCGCCCAGGCTGCAGGCACTGCAGCGAGGTCTCCGTTTATCGTGGGCGCAATATGATAGATTAAATAGAGGAGGTAGACCGGAGACCGGATGGCAGTATACACACAGGTCCTCTTTTTTTTTTTTTTTTTTTTTTTTTTTTTTAATATGTTTTCTTTTCTTTTTAAAAAAATATGTTTTTTTTTTATTTTTTACAGAAAGGAAGGGAGAGCTAGAAACATCGACCAGCTGCCTCTTGCACACTCCCCACTGGGGATGTGCCCGCAACCAAGGTACATGCCCTTGACTGGAATCGAACCTGGGACCTTTCAGACAACAGACCGATGCTCTACCACTGAGCCAAACTGGTTCGGCCACACACAGGTTTTATTGGAGAGAAGGGTACCCCTGCCAGCTGCTTCCACGGAGAGGGGTGGAAGAGAGGGAGGGAGGGGCGTACAAGCACCTTTAAGGATAGGGGGCGGGGCTTAGGGCACTCAGCACACGCTGATTGGTGATTTAGGAATGGGGGGAGGGGAGGCCTAGGGTATCCGGCAGGTGCTGATGGGTGGTGGTTCAGAGCTCAGGAATGTCTGGCCGCAGGTGGGGTTTGCCTCTGTCCATCACCTGGAGGAAGGGAGGGTCTATCTTAACACAGTGCCATCTTCCCCAGAGGGGTGCTGAGGAAGGGCCTGGAGGTCCCAGACCCGCTGATGGCGGCAGAGCTTCGACCAAGAGCTGCTGGCACAGCCCCCGGGAGAAGGCCCGGCCCCCACTCCTCCCAGGGGGGTGGCCTCAGTCCTCTGGTGGGAGTTAGTCCGGGAAGAACAAGCAACAGGAGTGTGAGGAGAAAGACTGGTGGTGGCCACACGCAGGGATGGGCCCTCACCCCCCACCCCCACCCCGGGGGCCGGGGGAGCCTCCATGGGCCTCTGGCTCCAGTGTGTTAGAGCCGGGATTAGCACCTACAGGAAGCAGACCCCTCGGTCCACCAGGGAGCTGCCACCCAGCCTGCCCCCAGAGACCCCTGTGGGAGCCTCAGCTTAGGGCCCCGGCTCCCCAGTGCGGCCAGTGCGGCCCTGTCCTGCGAGGTCCCCACAGAGCAAGGAACGAGGGAAGCACCTCCTACCCTGTTTCCCCGAAAATAAGACAGTGTCTTATATTAATTTTTGCTCCCAAAGATGCACTAGGTCTTATTTCCAGGGGATGTCTTATTTTTCCATGAAGAAGAATACGGTACACATTTATTGTTCAATGAAAATAAAGGAAATGTATTACCTGTGTACGGTACGGTAGTACAGTCGTTGTCAACACAAACCAGACACACTGTGAATCCTACAGGATCAAGAATTTACTCATTTATTCAGTGACAATCATGTCATCATCTTCTGGAACATCCTCCTCACAATCCAATTCCTGAATTTCCTGGTGAATTTCTTGTGACTCCATTTCTTTCGGAATCAGTGGGCCAAATCTCTCATGTTTAGCCTGGGGGGAGGGGAGACCTTATTTTGGGGGGGATGCCTTATATTTCACTCAGAAGGAAACCTGTAAGTGGCTCTTATTTTTGGAGGATGTCTTATACTCAGGGAAACACGGTAGAACTTAGAGACGGAGGGAGGGTCTCGTCCATCAGCCCCACTGAGGCTGAGGACACAGTCCCTGAGCCACAGGGAGAGTCGTAAATAGAGTTCCCGAGGGGAGAAGCAGGCTCGGGCCACCTGCCCGGCGAGGAGGACGGGAACGGAGCCGGCCCGGCCGGGCAGGAAGCAGCCTCGCAGCCAAGCCCTGCTCTCTGCCTGTGAGCAGGACGCTGAGGGCAGAGGCCCGCGCACACTCCGGGGAGCTGCCTCACAGCGGGCTGGCCGGACGGGGGCAGGTGTGGCTGCAGCTGCCGCTCCCCGGCCCCAGGGGCCCGGATCCTCCTCGGTCTGTCACAGCCTCTGAGGCTCAGAACCGGACCGGACGGGCAGAGCCTGCGGAGGGGAGAGCAGGTCCCCTCGCTGTTAGTTCTTGTCCCCGGGGACTTGTCTTGGTGTCACGCTGATTTGGTGTCAGCAGCTTCAGCACCTTCACCTTCTTCTTCTTTTTCTTTTAATATACTTTATTGATTTTTTACAAAGAGCAAGAGAGAGGGATAGAGTTAGAAACGTCGATGAGAGAGAATCATTGACCAGCTGCCTCTTGCACACCCCCCACTGGGGATGTGCCCGCAACCAAGGTACATGCCCTTGACCGGAATCGAACCTGAGACCCTTCATTCCTCAGGCCGATGCTCTATCCACTGAGCCACAGCGGTTTTGGCCAATTCGCCTTTTAAGGAGAACAATGTGTGTAAATGACAGACCGCCACCGCCGTGCAGCTGTGAATACCCATCGGATGCATTCTGCCCAAGGAAGGAAGGGAGGGCGGGTGGGTGGGTGGGTTGACGGCCGGTGGACTCGACGCCAGGCCGCCAACGGAGGCCTGCGCGCCCCTTGAACGGGGAAGGGATGGGAAGTGCAGCAGCAGTAACACTGGGTGAGTCCTTCCTCGTGTAAAACCTGTGAGTTAATCCATTGAAAGGAATCACAACTATCCCCTGTAGCCCCAGCCAGTGTGGCTCAGTGGATAGAGCATTTGCCTGCAGACTGAAGGGTCCTGGGTTCAATTCTGGTCAAGGACACATGCTTGGGATGTAGGCTCCATCCCCAGCAGGGAACATGCAGAAGGCAGTCATCATTGTGTGTTTTTATCTCTTTCTCTCCCTCTCCCTTCCTCACTGAAATCAATAAAAAAAAGATTAAAATAAATAAATAGCTGAAACCGGTGTGGCTCAGTGGATAGAGCATCGGCCTACAGACTGAGGGTCCTAGGTTCGATTCCAGTCAAGGGCATGGACCTTGGTTGCGGGCACATCCCCAGTGGGGGGTGTGCAGGAGGTAGCTGGTCGATATTTCTGACTCTCTATCCCTCTCCCTTCCTCTCTGTAAGAAATCAATAAAATGTATTTAAAAATACATATTTAAAATAAAAGTAAAGAGGAGGGGCTCCGGGCAGTGGTTGGGGACCCAGGCCAGCCCACACCATGGGGAGTGTTGGCGAGGAGGCAGTGGCCAGCTGGGCAGGTCCGAGGCCGGGCCCGCCTCCTCCCCGTCCTGCGCACGTGGCTGTTGGTCCTGGGTCCGTGTGGTGGGCCTCGGGGCGGCTGCTGGCCCGGAGCCGCCACCAGTGTGAGGGCAGCCATGGCGTGGATGTCCATGACCTGAGCGGCTCCTTCTGGGACGGCCTGGCCTTCTGCGCCGTCCTGCACCAATCTGACCTGCTATTCTGTTTCCCCGAAAATAAGACAGTGTCTCATATTAATTTTTGCTCCCGAAGATGCGCTAGGTCTTATTTTCAGGGGATGTCTTATTTTTTCCACGAAGAAGAATACAGTATCATTCGATTCCGGTCAACGGCATCTACGGTGTGTGTGTGTGTGTGTGCAGGAGGCAGCTGACCGATGATTCTCTCCCATCGATGTTTCTAACTCTCTATCCCTCTCCCTTCCTCTCTGTAAAAAAAAAAAAAAAAAAAAAAAAAAAAAAAAAAATCAATAAAATATATTAAAAAATAAAAAAGAGCAAGGACCAGGTCAGGTGTGTCAGGGATTATAAATCTGAGCAGACCACCTGCTCAGTGTGTGGGTGCCTCCAGACCCTGTGTGCGCACCCTTCTGTGTAGAAGTAAAGATAGTGGCCTGGCTGCCTGGCTCAGGAGTACGCTTCGTGACCTACCAGGACCCTGACTTGTGGGGAGAGAGGGGGTGGAAGGGGCTCCCCCTATTTCTAACTGCTCCTCTTCCCTAAAACAGCTATGCCTGGGACATCCGCCCTAAGGACAGACCCAGGCCTGATTTTTTAATTTTATTTTATTGATTTTGTACAGAGAGGAAGAGAGAGGGATAGAGAGTCAGAAACATCAATGAGAGAGAGTCATCAATCAGCTGCCTCTTGCACACCCCCTACTGGAGATATGCCCGCAACCAAGGTACATGCCCTTGACCGGAATCGAACCTGGGAGCTTTCAGTCCCCAAGCCGACGCTCTATCCATTGAGCCAAACCGGTTTCAGCCGAGGCCTGATATGTTTAGGAGAGTTGGGAGAACACGTGATGGCCCACACCCTGGTGTTGTTGACTTAATTCAACCTTAACCTGGTTCTTTTATTTCAAATGTTTTAACTGATTATTTTAGAGATGTAGGGAGCATGAGGAACATCAATGGTGAGAGAATCATGGATCAGCTGCCTCCTGCGCATCCCCTACTGGGATCTAGTCCCCAACCTGGGCATGTGCCCTGGCCAGGAATCAAACCAGTGATCTCGGTTCATGGGTCCTCGCCCAACCACAAAGTCACATAACTTGGGCACACTGTTGTGTGTTTTTTAAAAATTAAATATATTTTGATTGATTACTGAGAAGGGGAGAGAGATAAAACACAAATGATGAAAGGGAGTAATTGATCAGCTGCCCCCCATGTATGCCCTCTATTAGAGATTGAGCCCACAACCCAGGCCTGTGCTCTGACTGGGAAGAGAACCATGACCTGGCTCATATGTTGACACTCAACAACTGAATCACCGTGGCTGGGCTGCCATTTTTATTTCGAATAATTATTATTAATTTCAGAGTGGAGGAAGAGATGGAAACCTCAATTATGAGAAAGAATCATCCATCAGCTGCCTCTTGACCGCCCCCTTCTGGAGATGGAGCCTGAAACCTGGGCATGTGCCCTCGACAGCGAACCAAACAGGTTCAAAGGTCAATGATCAACCAGGGAGCCATGCCGGGATGGGCTTCCGCTCTCTCTAAAAAATCAATAGAAAAATATCCTCGGGTGAGGATTAAAAAAATAAAAATAAAAGGCATTCACGACGGAGCAGAGACCTTCAGGGTGAGAAATAACTGAAGGAGAGCCGCTTCCTCCCTCAGAAAGGGCAGGACCGTGCTGGGCTGGGGAGCAGGCCGTGAGGGGTCGTGGGAAAGCTGGAGGGGAGGGGGAAGGGGGGAGGGTTCCCACCCAGGGTTCCGTGGCTGTGTGGATGCGGCGCTGACAGGGAAGACCACCGACCCCCCTCCCTGCTCATCCTCCAGGGGGAGAGCCTCCCGGGGCCCACAGAGGGTGCTGTGTCCTGGGAGAGTCCACACAGCCCCAGGGCAGCCAGTCTGGGCGCCTCTGCCCAAGAGGAGACCCTGGAGGAGACCAGGGAGGAGACTAGGGAGGAGACCAGAGAGGAGACCAGGGAGGAGACCAGGAAGGAAACCAGAGAGGAGACCAGAGAGGAGACCCTGGAGGAGACCAGGGAGGAGACCAGGGAGGAGACCCCGGAGGAGACCAGGGAGGAGACCAGAGAGGAGACCAGGGAGGAGACCAGAGAGGAGACCAGGGAGGAGACCAGAGAGGAGACCAGAGAGGAGACCAGGGAGGAGACCCTGGAGGGGACCTGGAAGCCGGTGGGCGGAAGCCCCAGCACTGCCACCCGAAATCTGTACTCCTGTGACCGGTGTCCCCGGTACTTCTCGCGCTTCCGGCTCCACCAGAGGAGACACAAGGAGCGGCCCTGCGTCTGCACCACATGCTGCAAGGGCTTCTTCCAGGCCTCGGGCCTGCACGTGCACCAGAGGATCCAGGTGGAGGTGAGGCCTCTCCTCCATCTCCTACTGCCCCCTGCAGGTGCATCTCCACGCCGGGGACCTCCACATACAGGGACTCCACGCCCGAACTCCCTCCCTGTAGTGTGTGTGTGTGTGTGTGTGTGTGTGTGTGTGTGTGTGTGTAGATATATCTATTTTAGTTAATATTTTTATTGATCTCAGGGAGGGAGAAGGAAGTGGAGAGGGAGAGAGAGAGAGAGAGAGAGAGAGAGAGAGAGAAGCATCAGTGATGAGAATCACTGATAAGCTGCCTCTTGCAGGATACCAATGACATATGCCCTGACCCGGAAATGAACTGTGACCTCCTATCCCCATAGGACTTCTCTATTTATTACATGCTTTATATGGTGTCTCAATTATACTTTCCACTCATGGTCTCCCCCACTTAAATTTCAGGTTAAGGGGGACAGGAATTTCTGTTTTGTTCACCAAAGTCGCAGGAACCTAGAATGTGACGGACACGTGTTCAAGGATCAATAAATAGTTGTTGAAGAAATAAAAGTGTATTGTCATTTATTTCTTATTCAGTCTTAAACGAGAAACTGCTGACGCCAGGAGGAAAGAACATGAGCCCGCTTTACATGTGCGATTCATACATCTTGGAAGATTAGAAAGTGTGTAGGAGCCTGACCCGTGTGGCTCAGTGGTTGTGTCACCTAAGAACCAGGTCTTGGTTGGATTCTCAGTCAGGGCACATGCCTGGGGCTAAGGCTTGATCTCCAATAGGGGGTGTACAGGAGGCAGCCAATCAATGATTCTCTCTCAACATTGATGTCTCTATCTCTCCTCCCTCCCCCTCTGAAATAAAGCCAACAAAAATATATATTTGAAAAATAAAATGAAATAAATCAATAAAAATAGAGCATGCTAACCAGTTTGTGGCAGTCTCCTGCACTCTCCCTGAATCCAGAGGTTCTGCAACAACGATCCTTCTCATGGCCCCTGTGATCTTAAAACCAGTGCTGGCACCTACAGAAGTCAGGACCTCAGGGCCCACAGCTCCATGGCAGGACCTGCAGGGACAGACGCCCCCTCACCAGTGCTGGGCACGCGACAATGGCCCTGTGAAGGAGAACAAGCTCGTGTTGCTCTCAGAAGCAGTGAAGGTTGTCACAGGGACCCCCTTCTCAGGTTGAACTCAGAACCCCCAAGCCATGGCATACAAGCATCCAAGCCACAAAGCTCCCCAGTCTTCCCTACAGGCCACGAGCAGCAATGCAAACTAGGCCAAAATGGAAGATGCATCTTCTGCCATCACACTGTACCCGAAGGTACACAAAGTTCAGATCCCAATCAAAGCTGTTCACCTCTTTGTGCTAGCAAACCTGTCAACTTCAAAGCACCCAAAAAGGTAACTAGAACCTCAAGATGAACAGTGGCTTGAACAATAAGACCTTTATTGTCATACAAAAAAGAGCAATGGTAGGCACAATTCCCAGGTTGGTGACTTCAAGTCTGAAAAATGATATCACTGGAGTCATATGAGGCCAACAGTATCTTTGAAAACTGTAGTCCATCACCGAGACCGGTTTGGCTCAATGGATAAGAGCGTAGGCTTGGGGACTGAAGGGACCCAGGTTAGATTCCGGTCAAGGGCATGTACCTTGGTTTCGGGCATATCCCCAGTAGGGGGTGTGCAAGAGGCAGCTGATTGATGACTCTCTCTCATCAATGTTTCTAGCTCTGTATCTCTCTCCCTTCCTCTCTGTACAAAATCAATAAGATATTTTTTTTAAAAAAAGAAAGAAAAATGGGCCGAAACCAGTTTGGCTCAATGGATAGAGCGTCAGCTTGGGGACTGAAAGGTCCCGGGTTCGATTCTGGTCAAGGGCATGTACCTTGGTTGCGGGCATATCCCCAGTAGGGGGTGTGCAAGAGGCAGCTGATTGATGACTCTCTCTCATCGATGTTTCTAACTATCTCTCTCCCTTTCTCTCTGTACAAAATTAATAAAATATATTAAAAAAAAAGAAAAAAAATGTAGTTCAGCTTTTAAAATGCCAAATTGTAAAAATAATGTATTGATTTTAGAGAGAAACATCAATGTGATGTCCTCTAAGTCAAAACTGGGTAAAGCCCATGCCTTAACTTACCAGAAAAAAAAAAAAAAAAAAATGGGTAAGAGCAAGTGCTCAGCCCTAACCATTTTGGCTCAGTGGACAGAGCAGAACATCGGCCTGAGGACTCAAGGGTCCTAGGTTTGATAATGGTCAAGGGCATGTACCTTGGTTGCGGGCAGATACCCAGTAGGGGGTGTGCAGAAGGCAGCTGATCTGTTTCTAACACTATCCCTCTCCCTTCCTCGCTGTAAAAAAAAAAAAATTATATATGATATAAAGAGTAAGTGCTCAGCCTACTCATGAATTGTCCCACCAATGAGCGGACACTGGGATGTATTTGCCAGGACATTCTGGAATGGATAAATGTTCCACACTACAGGCTCCAGCCAAGAGGTAGAGTTGAAATGGCTTCTGCAACAGAAGTGCCAGTGATATAAATCTGGCCATGGCCCTGGGCAGGTTAAAAAGTGCAATGTAGTTCCCACACTGGAATTTGTAGTTCAGATGCACACAGGCAAATGGGACCTTCATAAGGGATCTCTTCCAGTTGTGGTATATTGAACAAAAAAATAGCATATGCCTATGAAGTTAAGGCAGTTCTCCCATTTCAAATCTGTGGTGGCCTGGCTGATGTGCCTCAGTTGGTTGGGTGTCATCCCATGCAACCAGGGGATGCCAGTTTCTCAGTTGCTATTCTCTCACATTGATGTTTCTCTCTAAAATCAATACATTATTTTTACAATTAAAATAAACATGGCATCGAATACTTAAAAAAATATTTTGGTATTCAATAAGGTAAGTTCCTTTGGCTGAAGGCCTTCTCACATCCACTACTCTCATAAGGTCTTTATCCAATGTGAATTCTCTGGATAAAATACTAAAATCTGGGAAACGATTTCCCACACTTGCCACACTCATACGGTCTTCATCCAATGTGACATGGTGTTTTTGGTGCCTGGAATTGAAGATAAGATTACTTTCCTTATTCACAAAGCCTTTATGCAGTGTGAAATCTTCAATTTTTAAAAATTGACTCCAGAGAGAAAGGGAAAAGGAGTGAAATATTAATGAGAATCATTGATTGGCTGCCTTTTGCAACCCCCTATTAGGGATCAAGCCTGTAGCCCAAGCATGTGCCCCTGACCAGAATTGAACCTGGGTCCCTTCAGTCCACAGTCTGAGGCTCTATTCACTGAGCCAAACCAGTGAGGGAAAATCTTTGATGTTTAATGAGGCTCGAACTATGCCTAAAAGATTTCCACATTCACTACACTCATAAGGCCTTTCTCTGGTGTGAGATCTGGTGTTTTAAGAGACTAATGCTGTAAGTAAAAAATTTCCCACATTCACTGCACTGGTAAGGCCTTTCTCCAGTGTGAATTCTCCGATGCTGAGAAAGTACAAAGCTTTGTCTAAAAGATTTCCCACACTGGTTACACTCATAAGGCCTTTCTCCAGTGTGAATTCGTATGTGTTTAATGAGACTAGAGCTGCAAGAAAAAAATTTCCCACATTCACTGCACTCATATGGCCTTTCCCCAGTGTGAACTCTTTGGTGTTTTAAGAAACTAGATTTGTAAGTGAAAAATTTTCCACATTCATCGCACTTATAAGGCCTTTCTCCAGTGTGAATTCTCTGATGCTCAAGCAGCACAGAGCTTTGGCTAAAACGTTTCCCACATTCGCTGCAGGCATAGGGTCTGGATCCAGAGTGAACTTTCTGATGTTTTATGAGATTGGAATGGTAGGTAAAGAACTTCCCACATTCACTGCACAGATAAGGCCTCTCTCCTGTGTGAACTCTCCGGTGTTGAAGGAGTGCAGAGCTTTGGCTAAAGGACTTCCCACATTCCCCACACTCATAAGGCTTTTCTCCAGTGTGGATTCTTCCATGTTTAATGAGGTTGGACTTTTTGCTAAATAATTTTCCACATAACTCACAATTGTGAGACCGCACTCCAGGGTGAACTCTCTGGTGTTGAATGAGGCTAGAGTTTTGCTTAAAGGACTTCCCACATTCCCCACACTCATAAGGCTTTTCCCCAGTGTGAACTCTCCAATGGTCATTAAGACTGTAGCTTTTGCCATACGATTTTCCACATTCATTGTTCATGTGGCATCTTTCTCGGGTGAGGAGTCTCTGGTCTTGAACAAGCCTGCATTTGCAATTAAAATCTTTAGAGTATTCTGGATCAGATAGAGATTTTCCATTGTGGGAGTCCACGGCACACTCCGTTTCCCTGTTTGACTTTTCCCTGGTGTGAGTGGCCAGATGATGGAGAAATCCTGAGCTGGCCAGGAAATCCGTCAAAACCTCCTCATAGGAACCAGGCTTCCCAGACACACAGAATTTGCAGTCTTTTACAAATGAGGCTCTCTCCTTGTGGCCTCTGAAGCACATCTCTCCTGTGAGCTGCTTCTGATGCTCATGTTCTGTGCTCATATCCAACTGTTTCTCACATGCCCCCATCTTGTACAGTTTCTCCCCATGATGCGTTCCCGGGTGCTCAGTGAAGTGCAAAATGTCTCTCACATCCACACCACACAGCTCACCAGGATGGGCCTCCAGGGGAGACACACCGGCCTTGGGAGTCCTGACCTCTGACACTCCTTGTAAAGAATTTCTGAGCTCAGAAGGGGCCTCCTCATTCTGGGCTCCATGCCAACAACCTGAAAGTGAAAAGTGCTGGTTAAGTGCATGTTGCCTCTGGTGGGAAGGGGCAGAACTCACTCGTGTGTCTGACAAACCCAGGAACGAGTCCATGGCATTGTGTGCAGGACCAGGGAGTGAGTACACGCCGAGGATGGGGCTACTCCGCAGTACTGGGCCATGAGGAGCACAGACTGGGGGAGGGCTCCCGTGGTGAAGGACCCAACCATGCAGTGTACACAGAGAGCAGACACAGGGTCCCCAATTCACTTCAACAACGACTTCCCTAAAGAACTTCGCTAAATAACCTGGCAGCTGGTATTCAGGACTTTTAGAAATATGCACACACCTCAGGACACAATGCATAGGGGCCAACGAGGAAAGCACCGCAGATGGCGTGGTGAGAAAAACAGGCTAGACACACACAGTGCAGAGATGTGAGGCTGGCGGTGAGAGTAGAAGTGATAAGTGATAGAGCTGAGAAAGTGGTGAAAGTTTCAGGGAAGGGGATAGACAGACAGAAATGAAATGTGGCCCCAGGCATGGGATCAAAACACTAGTCCAACACAGTAGGTGTCTGGTGTGAGTTGAACACAGCACTGGCATTGCAGCCTCTTCCAGGTGCCACTCCTAACATTTTGCTGAGCCTGGTTTTATGTACATCCTATGAACTACCTCTTTCTAACCCGACCCAACTCCCTCAGTGAGCAAATGCATGGCACCTTATACAGGTACTAAGAGAAGGACAGCACACACGAGTAACCAGCACCAGAACAACTCGGCACATCACAGCCAACAGAAAACCAAATACTACCCAGAGAACTTCGAAGGAGAGTCTTGCAAGAATAGCCCATAGTCCGTGGGAGGAGGAACCATACCATGCGATGGGGATTCCTGGCCCCGGCAGGCCTGAGACAATGTTACTAGGAGGAGGCAGAAGAACCTAGTTACACAAGGGCCTAAGATCTGAACAAAGTCATTTCCTCAAGGAGAAGCAAGTCAGGTGTATGGGTTCACTGTAAGACTCCTGTTCTGATTCTTTCCTGCAAGTCTGGGCTCTTCAAGGAAGGAGAGGGCCAGTCACAGACCTCAATCCCACTAAGTACAGCACCTGTACAGGTGTATAAGCAGAGTAGCTATCCGGGGTCTAAACACAGCACCTATCTATCTAGGAGTCTAAGCACAGCAGCTCTCCAGGGGTCTAAGCACAGCACCTACCCAGGGGTCTGGGGAAGAAATCAGTACCACAGTCCTGGTGTGAGGACAGACCTGCTACTGGGGGAAAAGGGAAGGGCAGACATTACTGCCCATTGAATAAGGGGGGAGGGGGGGGGGGACGGATGTGTGTTTGAAATCCTCACCCAAGGAGGTTATCAGTGTCAAGTTCTCCAGCATCACATCGTGGTACAGGCATCTCTGAGCCTCATCCAGGAGCTCCCATTCCTCTGAGGAGAAGTACAGGGCCACATCCTTAAAGGTCACCCTGCCCTGTGTGAGAAAAAACAAATCATCTTTTCTGTCAAAGAACAGTTTAGAAGGCCGCCATTTTGGACTACATGATTTGTCAGCTGCCATGTTGGCCACATGGCTTGCAGTACCCCTGGTGGCCGTCTTCTTGAAATGGCAAAGGCCAACTTTTCCCTTTGAATTATCCAATAGGGAAAGATTGCGCGCCTGTGCTCCAATCACGAATAGGGGACAGCCGAAACCGGTTTGGCTCAGTGGATAGTGCATTGGCCTGCGGAATGAAAGGTCCCAGGTTCGATTCAAGGGCATGTACCTTGGTTGCAGGCACATTCCAAGTAGGGGGTGTGTAGGAGGCAGTTGATCAATGTTTCTCTCTCATCGATGTTTCTAACTCTGTCCATCTCCCTTCCTCTCTGTAAAAAATCAATAAAACATATTTTTAAAAAATTAAATAAATAAAAAATAAAATAAAAAAATTCTGTTTTCAGATTTTTCCTTCAATAACTTGTTTATTAAGCCTGTTAGGCCATCTCTAAAATGTATCCAGCTCTTTTATTCTTTTCATTGAATTTTAGTTTTATGTAAAAAAAAACCATATTTTAGCACCAGTTACCTTTTCTAATTTCCCCCCCTCCTGTGTTGGTTTTTCACATAGGGCATTGGTACCATTTTTTTGGATGTGAAATGTTTATATGAGAAAAACAAAAAGCTCATGTATAGCCTGTATACAGTGTAGATATTATTTTTGTAAAAAACAAACAAAAGCCCTGACTGATTTGGCTCAGTAGAGTGTCGGCCTGCAGACTAAAGGGTCCATGGTTCAATTCCGGTCAAGGGCATGTACCTTGGTTGTGGGCACATCCCCAGTGTGGGGTGTGCAGAGGCAACTGATGGATGTTTCTGATTCTCTATCCCTCTCCCTTTCTCTCTGTAAAGAAAATCATTAAAATATATTTTTTTTAAAAATCAAGGCTAAATTAATAAACAAGAATACTGACTGTTTCATCATTAAAAATTGACTGTAGCTGCAACCTGTGTGGATAGAGCGTGGGCCTGTGGACTGAAGGGTCCTGGGTTTGATTCTGGCTGCGGGCACATCCCCAGTGGGGGGTGTGCAGGAGGCAGCTGATCTATGATTCTCTCCCATCAATGTTTCTAACTCTCACTCCCTTTCCTCTCTCTTCATCTGTGAAAAAAATCAGTAAAATATATATTTTTAAAAACTGGCTGTATTTCTTGCGCATTAATCTGACCATAATCCCCTGGTCAAATCCGAGAAAAGACATTCCAGTGGCTGTGAGGGTGGGGGCCGGGGCCAGAGTCACCTCCCCTTCCCTGGGGTCCCGCCAGCCCTTCCGTAGCCGCGGGCCGGGGGCCGGGAAGGGGCCGCCCCGAGACTCGCGGTCCTGGGGCCCCGCGGCTCGGCCTCCGGGGACCCGCTGACCCCCCGCAGCCGGCGCCCGACCCGTCCCCCTGACCCCAGCGCCTCCGGGCCTGACCGGCCGGGCTGCGGGGCCGGGGCCGGAGGCGGGACGCGCTCACCTCAGCCGGGCGCCGGGACGCGGCCGCCGCCATCGGACCTACAGGCGGGTCCCTCGAGCCTCACACCCGCGTCCGTGCGGCGGGGAGAGCGGCTCCCGCCGCCTTCGGACTGGCACTCGGACCCGGACCGAGCGCTCCGGAAAGTCCTACAAACCCCAGAGCCGCTAACGTGGCCGCCAAAGCAGTAGCCGGAAGTACCGCCCTCTCGCAATGCGTCACACGCAGGAGTCCCTCTTCCCTACATTCTTATTGGATGGTGGTGCTGCCACTCCACACTGGGCATTCTGGGAAATGTAGTCTCTTCCCACAGCGTTGCTGCCACTACACTCTGGGCTTTCTGGGAAATGTAGTCCCTTGGGAAAAAGGGCTCATTGTGTGAAAAGACTAAAGCTCAGCTGCAAGATGCCTGGGAAGCGGAATAGGTGGGCTTTGATTTCAGAGTGCAATAGGCTGCCCTTTTTTTTCTTCTTTTTTAATAATTTTTAAAAATATATATTTTATTAATTTTTCACAAAGAGGAAGAGAGCGAGCCAGGAATATCAACGAGAGAAACATTTATCAGCTGCCTCCTGCACACCCTCCACTGGGGATATGCCTGCAACCAAGGTACATACCCTTGACCAGAATCGAACCCGGAACCTTTCAGTCCGCAGTCCGACGCTCTACCACGGAGACAATACGGTTTTGGCTGGGCAGGGATTTTGCTGAAGGTTCCGCACATCAGCCCCTCAGAATGCAGTCTGGGGCTCTAGGCAAACTGTGAGGCCTCCTGAGAGGAAGGTCAGGTCTTCCCACAGAGCCCACCACACAGCCACGACCACTTTCTGATCTTCATTGTCCAAACCAGGCAAGGTGACCTCCCTTCAGCTCCTAAATGGACTTCCTCAGGGCCACCCCACTGACCACCCCAGGCTTCCCCTTCCCCCTGTCACCTGCCCTCACTACCCTGCCCCGTTGTTTGTGGGCTGCCCTCCACCAGAACGCCAGTTCCCAGGGGCAAGGAACTCTGTACTTCCAGATTCTGGAAAAGTCCAGCCCAACAGTGTCCACCCTCTAGGTCCTTACAGGTCTCAGCTGTGCCACCGTGGCTGCTGCCCCTCCATCGACCCTGATTCAAGTTCTCATCACTAGAGCCTCCCCTCAGCCCTCCCACCTACGTGCTGACAGGGAACCGCTCGCCAGCCCTGTCCATGGACCCCAACCTCTCTGCTCCATCAACCACACACCCCAACAGCACACTTTCCCCCAGAGTCCAGGCTCCATCCCCACAACAGGGGAGGGGCTCTGCTCTTCAGGCCCAATGTAGGGAGGTGGCACACCAACCACAACCACCCCCCTCCCCCAATGTGGTTATCATGTTGAGGCCAAGCCTCTCTTTCTGGAAATGCTTGTATTGCAGAATGATTAGACCACTGACAACACACGGTACAATTTCATGGAGAGTCCATGGGCTGCTGAGGGGGATACTTATTAATAAAATCAAAGCAGAAAATACCCCCAAAATGTAAAAAGAGAGACTCAAAGAACACCAGTGGGCCTCAGGCGTGAGTGTGGGCTGGCCAGAGGCAGAACTTCCTAAGGTGAACTGATTTGGGGCCCAAGCATCAGGGGGCTTCTTCTCCAGAGAAAGCAGGTTCAGTGTCAGCGGACGAGGGGCAGGGGACGGGGAGAGCCGGGGGAGAGACCTCTGGGTGGAGACAGAAGAGCCCTGGAAGCTCCTCTCAGGCGGACACAGAGCCCCAATCCCTCCCAGGGGCCTGCCTTGGGCTCCTCTCTGCCAGCTCCTGGGCAGGATACAGCATGCCCAGCTGCAGGGGGAACATCCCGGGCAACGGCAGGAGAGAGTGAGGAAAGGTGGGCTGTGCAGGCTGAGGCCCCATCTCAGTGAATCAGGGTGGATGTCCCTTTTTTCTTTTTTTAAAATAAGAATGTAAGGTAGGGAGTGAAAAGATGAGACAGGAGAGAGAGAGAGAGAAAGAAACACAATGACTGGATGCCTCCCACACTAGCAGACGTGGGGTGAAACCTGCATAAAAGAACTGCGAAGTCACCCAATCTTTATTTCAAGGCCTTGGGCAGTAATGCAAACTAAGTCAGTATTGGAAAAAGAGTGATTTCCTGCCTTTCTGTGTCCCTCCTGAAGCACAGAGAGCTTGGGATTCCCACAGTATCTGGTAACTCTACGTGCTGACAGGCCACAACTGTGCTTGCAAACCACCCCAGGCGGTGACCAGGACCACCAGAACTAAAGGTACAAAAGCAAAAACGCTGTTACATAAACGTCATCGTCCAGAGCAGTGCACAGCAAGCGGTTTGCAGGCTGGTGAGTGAGAAGCTGAAACAACTCGTGACAACAAAAGGGGAGACCCACAGCGTCCCTGAGAGAGGCAGCACTTCTTAGCTGAGGATGGGGGCTTTGGGCAAATCCTGGGTCAGGTGCATTCTCTACTTAGAGAAAAAGGAATGAAGATCCTGCCAAGAGCTCAGCGTATTCATAAATTTCTCAAGCACCAGGGAGAACACAGAATTCCTTTCCCTGAGCACCAGGGGTGGTGACTAATGCACACCGTTCAGATGAGTCAGGTGATGGAGGTCACTTCAGCCACAAATCCTCGCAGTGACACCAATGAGGTGGAGTCCATGGAAGATAGCAAGTGCAATGCAGCTCCTTCAAGCCTCACTTGTACCTCACACTTATGAGGAATTCCCCACAGTGTATGTTCAGACCAGAGGGGTCTGTATTCAGGTAAATGGGTTTAAGTCTCCTCCAGTGTTGTCGAGTGAGAAAGATAAACCATCCCCTGCACAGTTAAGGACTTTCTCCAGTGTGAGCTCTCAGATGTCTAATAAGGCTAGGTTTGTAGCGAAAACTTTTCCCACATTCACTGCACTCATGAGGCCTTTCTCCAGTGTGACTTCTGTGGTGATCCATGAGCTTGGATCTTTGGCTGAAGGACTTCCCACAATCACCGCACTCATACGGCTTTTCTCCTGTGTGAGTTCTCTTGTGGTAAAGGAGGTGACTGCTGCTCCGGAAAGATTTTCCACATTCACCACACTCATAAGGCTTCTCGCCAGTGTGATGTCTCCTGTGTAGAGTAAGTGAATTGCCATGCCTGAAGGACTTTCCACAGTCGGTACACTCATACGGCTTTTCTCCGGTGTGAACTCTGTGGTGTTGAATGAGGGTAAACTTCTGCCTAAAGGACTTCCCACAATCACTGCAATCAAAAGGCTTTTCACCAGTGTGAACTCTCTGGTGCTGGGTGAGGTGACAGCTTTGACTGAAGGACTTTCCACAATCAGTACACTCATAGGGCTTTTGTCCACTGTGAAGCCTAAGGTGGATAGTAAAGCAGGACCTTTGATGGAAGAGCTTCCCACAGTCACTACACTCATAAGAGTTTTCTCTACTGTGACCTCTTTGATGATATGTGAGAGCTGAGGACTGCCTGAAGGACTTCCCACAATCAGTACACTCATACGGCTTTTCTCCAGTGTGAATTCTGTAGTGTTTAACGAAGGTTAACTTTTCTCTAAAGCACTTGCCACAATCACTGCAAACAAAAGGTTTCTCACCAGTGTAAATCCTCTTGCGTTGACGGAGGTTAGAGCTTTGACTGAAGGCCTTCTCACAATCACTATCGTCATATGGATTTTCTCTAGTGTGAACGCTTCTATGTCGATTGAGATTACAGATACGGCTAAAAACTTTCCCACATGTGTTACACTCGTAAGTATTTTCTCCAGAACAGACAGCCGGATGTTGTACGGATTCCTGGTTGTGGCCTGCAGCTTTTTCACCTTCACTCCAATGGTGATGACTTTTTCCACTGAGAAATTCCTGTGAAATCTCACTGCCACTGTGTGCTTCCTCAGTGTTGAGAAGGGCCTGGTGCCGGAGAAGCTGTGAGATGACTGGGAAGTCTTCCCCAACATCCCCGCTGGTTGAAGGCAGCCCTGCTAAGTAGAAGCTGCACCTGGTCACAAACGAGGCCCTGTCCACAGCTTCCCTCCAGGGCTTCTCTCCACCGGCTTCCCGCTGTGGCTGGTGAGGGTGTGCACTGAAACAGAAGTCTCTCACACATGCGGCATTGAAGAAGGCTTTCTGCTCTAAGTCAGTCAGGTGCAGAGCAGCTTTTAACACAGAGAAACACCGCTTACACAGATGGGTCCTCTGGATTGCTGGAGCTGTCTGAGAAGCCCTGACCTGTGACTCCCCTTGTACAGATACACTCTGCTCAGAACAGACCTCTTCACCATCTGTTTTATGCCAACAGCCTGAAAATAGAGAAATGCTGAGTAAATAAATGTTGGTTGTGGTGACATGGGGAAATCCGATTAGAAAAGTGTTTTGCACATAATACATGGATTCCATGCAATTTTCTGAAAATAAGAGGCGTGCAGGAAGGCTTAATAAGAGGCTGCTGTAAAGGTCTGGGCCTCTGAAGATTACAATACAAGAAAGACCTCCCCAGAAATATGACACAAAGAGGGCAAGCACCTCATGGAAGAGAAGCCAGATCTCCAGCTAAGTCTTCTGCTAACAGCACTCAGTAGAGCTTGTCTGGGGGTGAAGGGGGCAGGCTGTTCATGAGGTTGGTAAGGTCTTATCCCAATGAGGGAAGGTCTTACAAGAACAGCCCATGGTTCATGCAAGTAAAGACCACACCCTGGCACAGGCTGTCACAAAGAGCTCTTTGCTGGAAGAAGGGGCGGAAGTGGAAGCCACTGGGTGGACACAATCACTGTATCGTGAAGAGGTGCTAAAAGGTGGCACCCATTAGGCTGTCTGTGAGACTCCTGACTCCCAGGCACTTCCTGTACTTTTTATTTTATTTTATTATTATTTTTTTTTTTTGGTATCTTGATGACAGTTTAATATTTATAAAGATGAGTCAAGATTTATTAAAATCATCAAGGAACAGTGCAATATCCCAGGACTAACAACAACTGGGAGCTGGTTCCACCCCTAGGCATCAAAGGATAAGGAGAGAGAGTAGTTACTAGATCTAGGGAGAGTAGCTGTGAAAGAGGGCTGCTTGGCTATCCATTTTCTCCTGTATTTTTTAAAAATAAATACATTTTGCCGAAACTGGTTTGGCTCAGTGGATAGAGCGTTGGCCTGAGGACTGAAAGGTCCCGGGTTCAACTCCGATCAAGGGCATGTACCTTGGTTGCGGGCACATCCCCAGTAGGGGGTGTGCAGGAGGCAGCTGATCGATGTTTCTCTCTCATCGATGTTTCTAACTCTCTATCCCTCTACCTTCCTTTCTGTAAAAAATCAATAAAATATAAAAAAAAGAAAATAAGTAAATAAATAAAAATAAATATATTTTATTGATTTTTTTTTTTACAGAGAGGAAGAAAGAGGGATAGAGAGTTAGAAACATCCATGAGAGAGAAACATCGATCAGCTGCTTCCTGCACACCCCCCACTGGAGATGTGCCCACAAGCAAGGTACATGCCCTTGACTGGAGTCGAACCCGGGACCCTTCAGTCTGCAGGCCGACGCTCTATCCACTGAGCCAAACCAGTTAGTGCTTCCTGCACTTTTTGAACAACTTGTGTTATGGATGTTCGTGGGGTCCACTGGACAGACACTCCACACGGCTCACCACTGGCAGCCACAGCACAGTTAACAGGAATGTGGGGGAATGAGCAGAGCCCCTGCTGTGGCCTGACTGTGGGGGAGAGAAAGCTACATCTGGAGGATAAAGAGAAAAGGGGGCGTCACCCCAGGACACTGGGAGAAGGGGCAGGTCTTACCTGCAGATGAGACCAGTGCAAACACTTCCAGCATCACCTCGCAGTACAGGAGTCTCTGAGCCTCATCCAGGAGCCCCCACTCCTCCTGGGAGAAGGCGACGGCCACGTCCTCAAAGTCCATCTCCTGTGGTAATGGGGACAGTTCAGTCCATGACCAGTTTCTCTCCTAAGATTCTGAGTCTTTCATTCTCCCAACCATCCACACCATCTGCTCCTCTACTCCCCACATCAGAGAAGATACCAGGCCTTTGTCCACCAAAGTCACTCTGTCCTTTCATTCCCCCTGACACTGTGTCTTCCCGCAACAGCAAGGGCAGACGGGCACAGAGATGACACCTGTGCTCTGGGACTCCCATGTAGGCCCCTGGTCAACGGCAGGGGTGTCAGCAACACAGGGCAGGGAGGGATGTTGGCCATAAAGAGAGTGTGAGTGATCTGACAATGGCCTTGTCGGGCAATACCCTTGTAGTCCCCCAGATTGTACCTCAAGGACACTAAAATCATGGTGGAGGAGAAGGGGGAGAAGGAAGAGGAGGAGGGTGAAGAGGAGGAAGAGGAAGAGGAGGAGGGTGAAGAGGAGGAAGAGGAAGAGGAGGAGGGTGAAGAGGAGGAGGGTGAAGAGGAGGAAGAGGAAGAGGAGGAGGGTGAAGAGGAGGAAGAGGAGGAGGAGGAGAAGTCCGATGGACGATTCACCTATGCCCCTGATTCACCTTTTCAACCCGAGTTCCAGTTTGCCGAGGCCATCCCTTTGCACTACCTGCTGCACATAACTCTTTGAACCACATGTGTCCCACATGCTTCATTCCCAGAGGCACCACTTCACAGGTAACACCCATACGGGGTGACAGGGACGGTTTTACTTCCTAATCACCATCTTTTCCAAAACTGTGACTGATCCCCTATGTAGTGTATTTCTCTCTCATCTCCCTTCCCTGTGCCAGCAGATATTCAAGCCCAGGCTACACCACTGTATGCGGTCTCACTGCTGTGTCATCCCTCAACAGCAACAGGCACATTTGCACACATATGACATCTAAGGTCTGGAACTGGCACACAGCACCCTCTTTTTAGGAAATTATTCTAAAATTCCCCTTATTGTATGGTCCAGATCCCACCGGAAACGGACTCACCCTTCATCCACTCTAAGGTCAATGTCAGGGCCCCGTGGCCATGAATTCACGCTCCCTCTGCACATGCACATCACTCTCTCCCACACCTCTCTCACTCACACCTGCACTCCCACAGCCCAGCCCCCATAGGCATGTCCTTGGCCTCTTCCTCATTACTCAGCAGGTGTGGTCCGGAGAATGCTTGCCAACTTCAAACAGGATCCAGTCCTGCCCAGACCCTGAGAGTCCACCCTCATAGAGGCAACGTTGAGTCCTGCCCTGAAGGCCTCTCTCTATGACTGGTTTCCCCTCAACCTCACCTACTGGGAACCACATCAGATCTCAGACACCCAGAGCGCCCTCCCCTGGTGCTACACTTGATGTCCCTTCACCAGGCACAGCCACCATCTCTCCACGTACCTGTCACTCAAGTCCTGGCCCCAGTGGTCCTGTGCACCAAGCCCAGTGCATCTCACAGGTGACCACTCAGGAGTCTAAGCTGCCCTAACTGGTCTGACTCAGTGGATAGAGCATCGGCCTGCAGATTGAAGGGTCCTGGGCCTGATTGCCATCAATGGCACATGTCCAGGTTGCAGGCTCCACTCCTAGTGTGGGATGTGCAGGAGGCATCATATTAATGATTCTCTCATCATTAATGTTGCTTTCTCTCTTCCTTTCTGAAGTCAATAAAATAAAAATAAGTAAAGAGCCGAAACAGGTTTGGCTCAGTGGATAGACCATCGGCCTGCAGACTTAAGGGTCCTAGGTTCGATTCTGGTCAAGGGTATGTACCTTGGTTGCGGGCGCATCCCCAGTAGGGCGAGTGCAAGAGGCAGCTGATCGATGTTTCTCTCTCATTGATGTTTCTAACTCTCTATCCCTCTGCCTTCCTCTCTGTGAATAATCAATAAAATATATATTTTTAAAAATAATAATAAGTAAAGGCCTTGGCCGCTGGGAACCCATTCTCTCCCGACACTCTACATGACCACCTTTGTCCCTTTGCTGTGACACCCTCCTCCCTCAAACAGGAGCCCCAGCAGGAAACCAGTCCTCAGCTCACACTGTCCCTGTGAGCTACTGAGACATTACCATCCTGACCATGATTCCCGGTATTACAGTGATCTACAGCCCTGGCTCATGCAACCGAGTTGGTTGAGCACGGAGCCATGTGCAGAGAGGTGGCTGGTTCCAGTCCTGGTCCGGGCACCTGCCTGAGTGGTGGGCTAGATCCATACAATGGCCTGTGCAGGCAGCAGCAGATGCTTGTTTCTTACTCATCACTGTCTGTCTCTCTCCTTCCCCCTTCCTTTCTATATTTAAAAATCAATTTAAAAAATACATATACACATATTTATATGAAAACAGACATATACGTGTATATACACATATACATCTGTATGTACGTATATACACACATATATGTCTATTCTCATATATATATGATGGCTCCTGAGCCAGCTCAGTCTTCACTCCCAGCCTCTGCACATCCCGGTCCCTGTGCCTGGGAGGCCCTCCCACATCTCACCCACCCGGTGCCCAAACCAGGGTCCACTTCCTACAGCCCTCGCCGTGGCCCCAGGACCCTGGGCTGAGGGTCTGCAGGTCCCAGGGCAGGAGGAGCGGCTGGACAGCCCGGGCCCCACAGCCTGAGGCCCCCACAGCGGGAGGCCCTGACCTCAGCCCCCAGCCCGGCCCCTGAGCGGCTCTGACCGCAGGGCCTGTGGGAGCTGAAGGCGCTGAGGGCCCGGCTCCGCCGCCAGGACCCGGGGCCCAGGCTGCTCGGGGCCCGGCCCAGCCCCGGGGCCGGGGCCGCCGCCCCTCGGGCTCCGTCCCTCCGTGCGCACAGCCAGCCCGGCCCTGAGGACAGGCCTCCTCCCGGAAGCCCTCCGGTCCCTCAGACACACAGGCCGGCCCCTCCCTCCGCCCGCGGCCCCCGGGCCCAGCCCGCCCCCTGCGGCCCCCACGGGCACTCACTGCTCCGGGCGGCGGCCTGGGCTGCGGCTGAGCGGCGCCGCCCCGAGGCGGGAGGGCCGCTGGGGCCGCTGGGGCCGCGGAGGGCGCTCTGTCCGCGGGGGAGGCGGGGCACGGGGACCCCAGTCCCGCCGGGTGGAGGTCCCCCGCCTCAGACACCCTGCCCGGCGGGACGCCGCCCCCCACGCCTCCTCCTCCTGGCGAGCGGCGCTCAGTATCCCGCGAGTCCGCGAACATTAGAAAAAGTCAAAATGTCCGCCAGGAAGAGGACACCGGAAGTCCCGCCCTAACCCGATGCGGAGACAGTTTATTGCCACTTGCGTAGCCGCATTGCTTCCTGGGAAATGTAGTTTTCGGAGCCGCGCGGAAGAGGGCTAGCTTTCCAGCCCAGGAATCTTAGGAACAAGGTGTGTGGGGCTGCCAGTGGGGCTGGGGAGGGAGGAGATGGGCCCAGAGGCCTGGTGACCTGGGGCAGACTGACAGACCTCCCAGGGGTGCCGGGGAGAGGACTGGGAGAGATCCTCCAAAGAATATATACATGGGGGAAATGGGAGACATCTGTAACATTATCAACAATAAAAAATACATATTTGAAAAGATATTTCAAAAGAAGATAGCCCAGCTTGTGGGGCTGAGAGGGTGAGCATCAACCTAATATCCAGGAGGTCAGGATTCTATTCCTGCTCATAGCACAGATGTGGGTTAGGTGTTCAATTCCCACTGTGGAGGGGGCTTGCAGGAGGCAATCAGTGATTCTCATTATTGATGCTTCTCTCTCCTTTTCCTCTGTCCAAAATCAACATATATATGTATGTATTTAAAGTATATACAGCCCTAGCCGGTTTGGCTCAGTGGATACAACGTCAGCCTGTGGACTGAAAGGTCCCAGGTTCAGTTCCGGCCACGGGCACATGCCTGGGTTGGGGGCTCAATCCCCAATGGGGGGCATGCAGAAAGCAGCTAAACAATGATTCTCTCTCATTATTGATGTTTCTATTTCTCCCTCTCTAAAAATCAATAAAATATGTTATAAAGTATATACACATATGCACAGCTCATGGACATAGACAATAATGTGGTGAGCTCCTACAAGCAATGGAGGCAGGGTAGTAGGCCAGAGAAGAGGGAAATGGGGGCATCTGTAATTGCTCAAAAATTGAAAAAAATAGTGCACCCAGCAGGTATGGTTCAATGAACCACATGAACCAAGAAATCACTGGTTCCATTCCTGGCCGGGCATATGCTCAGGTTGGGGCTTGATCCCAGTAGGGGGCAGGCAGGAGACGGCTGATCAATGATTCTTTCATCATTGATGTTTCTCTCTCCCTCTCCTTTCCTATCTGAAATCAATAAAAATTTATTAAAAAAGAATAGAGTGATGATCAAGCCTACAGTACATGATGGCTGAAAATTAAAAAAAAAAAATGTAGATTGTTAGCAAGGCAGATTACCTTAAAAGTGTATCTTACAGGTGGGACTTAATTGCCTTTACAATTAAATTTGAGAAAAACACACCGAGCTCTGCTGTTCAGCATCCAACCAGGAACAATCGAAGGAAATGTGTCTAGACATTCCCCAGCCCTCTCCCCATCTTTGCTGCCTACAAAAGCCTCAGGCCCGGCCACAATTCTGTCTCTACCTCTTAGTCCCCTGTCCCCCAACCACAGAGGGAAGAAATAAGTAGAAAATTACAACAAAAATGCAAAAATAGACTCAAAGTACACCAGTGGGCCTCAGAGGTGTGTGTGTGGTCTTGCTAGAGGTAAATGTTTCCTGAGGTGAACTAATTTGTGGCCCAAGCGGCCAGGGGCCTGGGAACGGGGAGAGACCTCTGGGTGGAGACAGAAGAGCCCTGGAAGCTCCTCTCAGGCGGACACAGAACCCCAATCCCTCCCAGGGGCCTGCCTTGGGCTCCTCTCTGCCAGCTCCTGGGCAGGACACAGCATGCGCAGCTGCAGGGGGAACATCCCGGGCAAAGGCAGGAGAGAGTGAGGAAAGGTGGGCTATACAGGCTGAGCCCATCTTAGGGAAGAAGGGTGGGTGGTGTTTTTTTTTTTTTTTTTAATTTATTTTTAAAATATATTTTATTTTTTTTTCTACAGAGAGGAGGGTAGAGTTAGAAACATCGATGAGAAACATTGATTAGCTGCCTCCTGCACACCCCCTATTGGGGATGTACCCCGAACCAAGGTACATGCCCTTGACTGGAATCGAACCTGGGACCCTTCAGTCCGCAGGCCAATGCTCTATCCATTGAGCCAAACTGGTTAGGGCAGTCTTTTGTTTTTTTTGAGTGGGATGAGAGAAACACAATGACTGGATGCCTCCCAATCCAGACAAAATGGTGGGCTGGGATCAAACCTGCAAAATACAACCACAAAGTCCTATGGTCTTTATTTCAAGCCTGGGGCAGTAAAGCAAAGAAAATTGGACAAAGAAGGATTTTCTACCATCAAGCTATCCTTTCTGAAGCACAGAAAGTTTGAGATTCCCCCCAATATCTGTTAACTCTACATGCTGACACATCAAAACTGTGTTTTCAAATCAACCCAGGCAGAGAACAGAACCAACAAAATTAAAGGTACAAAAGCAAAATCACAATCACAAAAACGACAGCAATCAGTTTGCAGGAATTCACCACAGCAGGTGACAACCACAATGTCCTTGAAAGAGACAGCTCTTCTTAGCCGAGAATGGGGACTCTGGATAAATCCTGGGTCAGGTCCATTTCTCAGTCAGAGAGTAAGGAATGAGGATCTTGCCAAGAGCTCAGAGTATTCACCTAAGCACAAGGGAGAACACAGAATTCCTTTCCCTGAGCACCAGGGGTGGTGACTGATGCACACCATTCAGATGAGCCAGGTGGTGGAGGTGGTCACTTCAGCCACAAACACTTCACAGTGACACCAATGAGGTGGAGTCCATGGAAGATAGCAAGTGCAATGCAGCTCCTTCAAGCCTCACTTGTACGTCGCACTTATGAGGGATTTCCCACAGTGTATGTTCAGATAAAAGGTGAATGGATTTAAGTCTCCTTCAGTGTTGTCGAGTGAGAAAGATAAGCCAATCCCTGCACAGTTAAGGCTTTTCTCCAATGTGAATTCTCAGATGTCTAACAAGGCTAGGTTTGCTGCTAAAACGTTTCCCACATTTAGTACACTCATGAGGCCTTTCTCCAGTGTGGCTCCTGTGGTGGTCCAGGAGCGAACGTCTTTGTCTAAAGGACTTGCCACAATCACCACACTCATATGGCTTATCTCCAGTGTGACTTCTGTGGTGGTCCATGAGCGAGCGTCTTTGTCTGAAAGACTTCCCACAATCACTGCACTCATACGGTTTTTCTCCGGTATGAACTCTGTGGTGTTTAATGAGGTGCCCCTTTAGTCTAAAGAACTTCCCACAAACACTACATTCAAAAGATTTTTCACCAGTGTGAATCCTCATGTGTTCCAAGAGGTGAAGCCTCCTCCTGAAAAACTTCCCACAATCAGTACACTCATATGGCTTTTCTCCAGTGTGAACTGCCTTGTGGTTCAGGAGTGTACTATTGTTCCTAAAAGATTTCCCACAATCAGTACACTCATAGGGTTTTTCTCCAGTGTGAACTGTCTTGTGGTTAAGGAGGTTATTATTTCTCCTGAAAGATTTCCCACAATCAGTACACTCATAGGGTTTTTCTCCAGTGTGAACGGTCTTGTGGTTTAGGAGGTTATTATTTGTCCTAAAACATCTCCCACAATCAGAACACTCATAGGGTTTTTCTCCAGTGTGAACTTTCTTGTGGTTAAGGAGGTTATTATTTCTCGTAAAAGATTTCCCACAATCGGAACACTCATAGGGCTTTTCTCCAGTGTGAACTCTGTGGTGTGAAATGAGGTTGGACCTTTGTCCAAAGGACTTCCCGCAATCAGCACACTTATAGGGCTTTTCTCCAGTGTGAGTTATTCTGTGCTGAATGAGGTGAAAGTTTTGTTTAAAAACGTCTCCACCTCTGTCACACTCATATTTCACTTCTCCAGAGCAGGCACTGGGATGCTGAACAAATCCCTGGTTGTGGCTGCCAAATATTTCATAGTTACAAGTCTGGTGAACACTTTTTCCAACAAGATATTCCTGTAAAATCTCACTACCACTGTGTGGCTCCTCAGAGCTGAGAGGAGTCTGGTGCTGGAGAAGGTTTGGGATGGCTGGGAAGTCTTCCCCAACCTCCCAATTAGTTGAAGGCACCCAAGGTAAGGAGAAGGTGCAGCTGGTCACAAACAAGGCCCTGTCCACGTCTTCTGTCCAGGGCTTCTCTCCACTGGCTTCCCTCTGTGGCTGGTGAGGGTTTGCACTCAAACAGAAGTCTCTCACACATGCATCACGGAAGAAGGCTTTCTGCTCAAAGTCTCCAGTTTGTGACTCGGTCAGGTGAAAAATATCCTTTAACACAGAGACACACTGCTTACACAGAAGGGTCCTCTGGGTTGTTGGCGCTGTCGTAGGAGCCATGACCTGTGACTCTTCTAGTACAGATACATTCTGCTCAGGACAGACCTCCTCATCATCCGTTTTATGCCAGCAACCTGAAATCAGAGAAATGGGGAGGAACTGATGGTTCCCTGTGGTGACAGGGGAAGTCGCATCGCTCGAATGTTTTGCCCATAATACACGGGTTCTATGCAATTATCTGAAAATAAGAGATGTTCAGGAAAGATTAATAAGAAGCTTCTGTGAAGGTCTCAGCCTCTGAAGGTCACAAAACAGGGAAGACCTCACCAGACATATGACACAGACACATGGCAAGGACGGCGTGGAAGAGAAGATGCATCTCCAGCTCACTTTTCTAACAATGCCCAGCAGGGCTGATCTGCTGCTGATGGGGGAAATCTGTGCATAAGGTTGGCTATATCTTATTCCAAGTGAAATTCAATAAATGAGTTATTAGATATTTGAGAACTACTTAAGCATGCATGAGCACTTCATAACATATGTGCAAGTCCATGTAGGAGAATACTGCAGAGGGAGCAGTGCAGAGGAACAGTTGATGCTAAAAGGTGACAAAGGTGACGGGCAGCCAGACGCCAGGAAGTGACCGATAAAATGCAAGTCAGCAACGTGTCAAGTATGGGAAAAAGAAGACAGAAATGGGTTGCAGCCAGTGGCACCTGCCCCTAATTACTGTTGAAAATTAGGTGGTTCCTGGTACCATCTGGCTACCACCATTATGTCATACCTTCCCTCTGTTGTCACCCAGCATGGCCAGACCTCCTCTGAAACCATCCTGCATGTTCACCCTATGAGCAAACCAGATTTCTCCCTGAATCTTCTACTGTACCGATGCATAAATACTGTAAATATTCCAAGTATTAATGAAAGACAACGAAGGAGGGCAGTCTACTTTGTCCCAGAGCAATTTGGCCTGCAATAGTACTCAGCTAAGGTAATGTTGTTTATAATATTGTTTATTCTTGCAAGACCCTTCTTCAATTGTTTATAATAGACCATGGATCATGGAAGTGAAGAACATAACCTGGCAGAGGCTATCATAAAGCACCTTTCCCTTGAGGAAGAGGGAAAAAGGAAATAAATGTGGGTATTGTCACCCTCCCAGGGGGAAGAAGAGGAAGATGGGACCCATTAAGCTGCCTGTAAGACTCCCAATTCCCAGACACTTTCTGCATTTCTTGAGGCAATAGGGGTTAGGGATGTTCCTAGAGTCCATTGGTCAAAGCTCTCCACACAGCTCAGCAAAGTGCATTTGACAAGACAGAGGCAAAAAATTAGCAGAACTAGGGGTCTGGCTGTGGGAGAGAGAAAGCTATATTTTGAGAATAAAGGAAGAGAGGGCATCACCTCAGGACACAGGGAAAATATGAAGCTCTTACCTACAGATGAGACCAATGCAAACACTTCCAGCATCACCTCGCAGTACAGAAGTCTCTGAGCCTCATCCAGGAGGCCCCACTCCTCCTGGGAGAAGGCGATGGCCACGTCCTCAAAGTCCATATCCTGTAGTAATGGGGACAGTTCAGTCATTGATCAGCTTCTCTCCTAGGCTTTTCTTTTGTCATACTTCCCACTCTCCATATCCATCTGCTTCCTCCACTCCCCACATCACAGAAAATAGCAGACCTTGCATCCACCAGAGTCACTCTCCCCTTATATTTCTACTGAGACTGTGTCTTCCACAGCAATAGATTATAACTGACCTCAGGGCCTCACATTTAGGGTCAACGCAATGGGTGTCACCAACACAGGGTACAGATTAATGTTGGCCATAAAGAGAAATATGAGTGATTTGACACCGATCGTGTGGAGTGATAAGCTTATTATACAAAACATTCTCCCCCCAAGTCCCCGAAAAACATTGCATCACTCGCCGAGACCGGTTTGGCTCAGTGGATAGAGCGTCGTCCTGCGGACTGGGGGGGCCCAGGTTCGATTCCGTTCAAGGGCTTATACCTTGGTTGCGGGCACATCCCTAGTAGGGGGTGTGCAGGAGGCAGCTGGTCGATGTTTCTCTCTCATCAATGTTTCTAACTCTCTCTCCCTCTCCCTTCCTCTCTATGGAAAATCAATAAAATATAATAAAAACAAAAAACAAAAAACATTGGATCCCTTTTGATTCCAATCCTAGGGTGCTACCTGTTCCACATAATTCTTTGTATCACCCTTCTCTCAGACAGCTTCATTTCCTGAGTCACAGCTTCAAAGACAACACATATACACCATGAAGATGAGGAGGAGATGTTCCTAATCACCCTCTTTTCAACATTCTAACTCACCTCCTCTGTAATGTATTTCTCTCTTACTCTTCTTCCTTTCCCAAGATAGTACAGATTTTCAAGCCCAGGTGACAGTGATGTATGCTATCTCATTCCAATATATCACCTCATTAGTTCCACAAAAATAGGCAGGCGTGCACCTATATAACACCAAAACTCTGGACCTGGCATGAAGTGCCACAACATGAGTCTTTCCAGGAATTATCCTAAAATTCCCCATATTGTATCATCCAGTTATCACCAGGAATAGACTAAACATCCATTCTTTTTTTAATATGTTTTATTGATTTTCCACAAAGAGGAAGGGGGAGAGATAGAGAGTTAGAAACATTGATGAGAGAGAAACATCGACCAGCTGCCTCCTACACACCCCCTACCAGGGATGTGCCCACAACCAAAGAACATGCCCTTGACCGGAATCGAACCTGGGACCCTTCAGTCTGCAGGCCAACACTCTATCCACTGAGCCAAACCGGTTTCGGCTAAGCATCCATTCTTTCTATGTCATTATCAGGGATCTATGGCCATGAATTCACACTCCCTTTCCAAGAACTCATCACTCCTTTCCCCACACCTTCCTCACACCTGCACTCCCATAGCCCCATCTCCCATAGACATCTCCTTGGTCTTAGTCATTAGACTAAGATACTGTTCGTAATATGACCTCAGCATGTGTGTTCCATTAGATCACAGATACCGTTTGTAATATGACCTCAGCGGGTGTTCCAGAGAATGCATGGCAAGTTCAAACAGTATCAAGTAGTAACCTGACTCTGAATGCCCACACCCAAGACACAGCCTTCAGTTTTGCTATGAAGGCCTCCCATCCAACTTGTTTTTTCTTCAACCTCCTCTATTGAGAACCACATCAGATCTCAGTGTCCAGAGCCCATGTCTACTGCTGCTGCAGTTGATGTCCCTTCTCCACTCACAGCCCTCAGGACTCAAGTCCCACCACCTATGGCCCTATACTCCATGCCCAGTGAGTCCCACAGATGTCCACTCAGGCCCATAAGCAAATCAACCAAACTGGATGCAACACACCAGGCCACACAAACGGTCACAAGAAATCCTGGTGAGTGTTTAAGAAGTAAATATGCACCAGCCACAGCTCTTTTTTTTTTTTTTTTTAAATATATTTTATTGATTTTTTTACAGAGAGGGAGAGGGATAAAGTGTTAAAAACATCGATGAGAGAGAGAAATGGATCAGCTGCCTCTTGCACACCCCTTACCGGGAATGTGCCTGCAACCAAGGTACATGCCCTTGACCGGAATTGAACCTGGGACCTTTCAGTCCACAGACCGACGCTCTATCCACTGAGCCAAACCAGTTTTGGCCACATCTCACCTTTTTTGAATTACTCTTCTACCTCCAATAAAATAAAATGAAAAGGTGATCTACAACTCCTCCCTGCTCCACAGTCTTTAATATTTTTTTAGTAGTCTTCATTTTGAACTACTCCTCAGAGTTCCAGATGGTCATGAACTGGTCTCTGAAATATCTCATACCCTAATAAGGAAAAATTAAAATATTTCATATCCCTAATGAACATTACTTTTCCCACTATGAATTTCTCCATGTCAGTTGACGGTGCTTTTATACCTTCAAGTGCTAAATCCAAACTTTTACATCATCTCTGATTCTTACCTCTCTCTCCAATCCAAAAAACTAGAAAATCCAGGTGGCCACACCTAAATCACTGATCCCTAAGGCAACTGCTTCTTCCACATCCACAACTTCCACTGTGCTCCTGTCACCATCACCCTCACCAAGGCCATCCCAGCAGCTTCCATTGTAGCCTTCCTACCCCCATCCTCACACCCATGCTGTGCCTCATGCTGCAGTCACAGGAGTCAAATGAGACCTGGGACACATCCCCTGCTCTACTGCTCCAATGACCCCAATGACCCCACCACCAGCAGAACAGAAACCCCAATTGTCACAAAGCTCCTCTGGACTGGATTCCTGTCTCACTGTTGCCAGTTCCTGTTTGGACACCTGCTCGGTCCTGAATCACCTTAGTGTTCACTTCAAGCCTTGGCACCTTCTGGAATCAATGTATGGAAGGCCCTATCACCCACAATTCCACTGGCTGACACAATCAGGTTCCAAGCACAATGACCCCTGACGTGGGCTTAGCATTCTGGGCTTGGTGTCCCGTCAAGGTCCCAGGTCCCCCGAGGAGAGCGGCTGGACAGCCCGGGCCCCACAGCCTGAGGCCCCCACAGCGGGAGGCCCTGACCTCAGCCCCCAGCCCGGCCCCTGAGCGGCTCTGGCCGCAGGGCCTGTGGGAGCTGAAGGCGCTGAGGGCCCGGCTCCGCCGCCAGGACCCGGGGCCCAGGCTGCTCGGGGCCCGGCCCAGCCCCGGGGCCGGGGCCGCCCCCTCGGGCTCCGTCCCTCTGAGCGCACAGCCAGCCCGGCCCTGAGGACAGGCCTCCTTCCGGAAGCCCTCCGGTCCCTCAGACACACAGGCCGGCCCCTCCCTCCGCCCGCGGCCCCCGGGCCCCGCCCGCCCCCTGCGGCCCCCACGGGCACTCACTGCTCCGGGCGGCGGCCTGGGCTGCGGCTGAGCGGCGCCGCCCCGAGGCGGGAGGGCCGCTGGGGCCGCGGAGGGCGCTCTGTCCGCGGGGGAGGCCGGGGTACGGGGACCCCAGTCCCGCCGGGTGGGGGTCCCCCGCCTCAGACACCCTGCCTGGCGGGACGCCGCCCCCCACGCCTCTACCTTCTGGCGATCGGCGGGGCAAAGCCCCGGAGCCAGGGTAGAACTGGGAGAAGTAAAAATGTCCGCCAAGAGGAAGAATCCGGAAGTCCCGCCTTGACCGGAAGCACTGGCGCATTGCTTTCTGGGAAATGTAGTTTTCTGAGGCTCCCAGGACAGGGCTAGCTTTCCAGCCCAGAAACCTGAGGAACAAGGTGTTGTGGGGCTGCCAGTGAGGCTGGGGAGGGAGGAGATGGGACAGACTGACAGACCTGCCAGGGGAGACGTGGGGAGAATTCCTGATCTGAGCTCTCTAGGTGAGACTTCACAAAATAAAATAAACGTATTGTTGTTCCCTAAAAGGAACATATCACATTTCTATAGTTAGGCTGATGGGAACAAAATGCACTTTAGATAGACCGTCATAGAATTAATGGTTAGTTTTCACTTATAATCTTTTTTTAAAAACATATATATCATAGATATTTTAATGATTTTTTTTACAGAGAGGGAGAGAGATAGTTAGAAACATCAATGAGAGAGAGTCATCAATCAGCTGCCTCTTGCACACCCCCACTGGGGATGTGCCTGCAACCAAGGTACATGCCCTTGACCGGGACCCTCCAGTCCACAGGCTGATGCTCTATCCACTGAGCCAAACCGGTTTCGGCTCACTTATAATCTTTTAGGAACTGTGTGTTGAACAAAAGCTTGTCCAAATAGCCATTCATTTCCAGGAGCCTCATCAGTGGAGTGACTGTGGGACTGAGGGGCCTACACTCGGCCTTCAAACCTGGTGTAGACTCTTAGTCCCACCCCTTCCTTGTTAAGGAAACGGGCTCAGCCAAGTCCCATACTTGTCAGCAGGGTGCGCTCCTCCCAGCAGGCGAGGCCGTACCCTCACTCTCTCTCGCACCATGTGTACAACAGATGGGGCAGTTTTAGGTTTATCTCGTCTTTCCCGCTACTGGGGTGGTGCTGCTGACAATACAGTGACTTGCTGATGGCAAAATTGCTAGCTTAGCTCAGCAGCTTGAGTGGCCACCGCTTAAAGCCCTCCAGACATACAGGGCCTGCCCGGCCAGTGCAGATGCCCAGGTCATTGGTTCCATCCCCACGAATGGCCTGTAGGAGGCAGCCAATCCATGATTCTCTCTCATTGACGTTTCTACCTCTCCATCATCTCCCTTCCACTCTGAGATCAATACATAAGTTAGAAAAACAGATAGGGCCAAAACCGGTGAGTAGAGCGTCGGCCTGTGGACTGAAGGGTCCCAGGTTCTGTTCCAGTCAAGGGCATGTACCTTGGTTGTGGGCACATCCCCAGTAGAGGGTGGGAAGGAGGCGGCTGGTCGATGACTCTCTCTCATCGATGTTCCTAACTCTCTATCCCTCTCCCTTCCTCTCTGTAAAAAATCAATAAAATATATTTT